CGTACATGTTAGTTTCTACAACATAATTTAAATCTAATATTATTTTGGTTTTTGACTCAAATCGTTATAACCAAGTAATATAGGATCAACCACTACAATTCTAAAAAATATTTTTTTCTGCAATGAACGTGTATCAAGTAAAATCACATAATTAAAAAAAAATGATGACAGTAAATGTTCAATACTACAATACCGAAAAAAAAAATACAAAACAATAAAAATAAAGAAATATCTAAATCCATTATTTTTATAATATAATATTTTATAGTCAATAGCGTAGTATAAATTTAATGATTTGAAAAATTATATGGATAAATGCATCTACGTGCCAATACATTATATTTTATTCGTATTATTGATTAGATACATTTACTATGTATAATATATATATTAAGCTAAATAATTTAATTTTTTATAAATCCTGATAATTATTATCAGTTGGGTGAGTATTCAGCATATTATTAGTATGACCATATTATTATTATAACGCTCAAAATTTTCTATTTTTATTTTTATTATCATATTATTTTCGAACATAAATTGTTTAAAATATGTTTACAGCACTAAACACACTGATGTATAATCGTGTTTGAGTACTCGTATGGTTGTCATAGGCATGCACCCAGGGTGTGCCAGGTGTACCGTGATTATTTACTTAAGGTACTTAGGTACTTAGTTACCTCTACATGACCATGGAAAAAATAAAAATTCATATACAAATCGTTTTGCTTTCTTTAAGAAATAACTAATCAAAACCGACAAAAAATTTAATTACCCATGATTACACTGAAAAATATACATTTTTCCCAAAAGAAAATGCATACATTTTATCCATATTAATTGTGATCATGTATATTGATCATTTAATTAAACCTCTAAATATTTAATACTATTCTTAATTCTTAAAACAATTTTGTTGTGAATTAATAAATGCAAACTTCATGATTATATTCCCACATTTTAGATGAGTAAAAACACTTATTATTATAAAAACATTTATTAATATTTATTCTACATTCAAATAAGATAAAAGTTACTCGTTTAAGAATAAATCAGCGGTTTCCAAACTTTTTTGGGTCACGCATGCCTTAAACAAAAAAAAATTAATCGTACCTCCCAATAAAATTTTAAGATAAGCAAATTATTGTCGGTCGAATAATAAATATGGTGTTTAGTAGTTAGTGAAATACATAATATATAAATATTTGCCTTGCACCTCCCAAGGGAGGCATACTTTACAGTTTGGGAACCGTTGGAGTAGATCATATTTATGCACAATATTATTTATAACTTAAGTATTTATATTTTCATACAAAATATTAAATGAATTGTATTAATAAGAAATACACTCCTATTGCAATTAAACACTTATGATTATCAATCAACTATTGTGATATATCCAACAGCAAATTAGCTTAATTGTTGGCTATTTATGTAGGAGTGTAGCCATTCAACTCAGAATACTTCCAATTGTTGTATTTGAATTACTTTTTTTTAATATTGAAGTATGCAATTTTAGAACTTTGTATTTCATTATTGTATAAAATTATTCGTTGACTGAACATTATATTTAATTCCTCTTGTTTTTTTTCAATATAATTACAGTTTTTTCAATAATATTAAATGCTTGTGTAACACTTATATTTTTGGTTTTTGCGATACAAAGTAGCTGAAGTTGTAGACGCAAAAATTTAAAGATATATATGAGCTATTAGAACAGTACACTATATTATTTTATTTTTAATTTTTACTCAATTATTACTTTGAGCGTAATAATAAAAAAACTAATATTTTCTCCATATTGTCGACTTGTTATGCAATGAAATGTACAAAACATTCAAAAACATACAAAACACTTTGAAAACAACCGTATTCAAATTCTACTGTTTAACTATACTTATTCCAACTGTACAGTTAAATAATTAAATTAAATTACATGTTATACTAATGTTTGTATTATTTTTTATGATCATAAAAAAAAAAATAACTGCCCAAACTTTCATGAACGCCCCACCGAGATTTTCTCGATAGCTCGCAAACCTAATCCGGGCCTGTTAAATAGGGATCACTTTTTGAATGCAATAATTTATCAATACTTTCATATTTATTTAAACACAACTTTAGTTCTAATATATTACACATTATTTCATATCGCCCATAAACTAATAATAATATAGTTAAAATCAAATAAAAATTAAGAAGTTTAATACATAATTCATGAGCACTAAGAAAGATAGAGGAAGTAAGATAAGACACTTTTGAAAGAAAAGTTTTAAGACGAATTTGTGGAACATATCTTGATCCACACTCCAGAAAATGTAAAATACGAACTTATCTTCAAAACATGTTCCAAAAACCGCGCATATCAAGAGAACCCGTGAAAAGAAGATAATGTGGACTGGGCACGCCTGGAGAAAAAGACACAATGATAAAAGCATTAATTGAGGAGGAGCAAATAGGAAAAAGACCGTTAGGCAGACCACAATTTAGATGAGAGGATTGTGTAAAAAAAGATGTTAAAGCAGTAGATCCAAGAACAAACCGGAAGAAAGTAGCAGAATACAGAGAAATATGGAGGAATATTTATAATACAGGATGATCTTAAAGGCCGGAACCCCCCTACAAAATACATAATTCATGCCTAATTTCTCTGTTCTAAGAATACCTATCAAAAATGTACCTACTAGCTGCTATTATTGACAAATATTTTGCTATTGATATTGTTAACATATTGTCAAACAAATTTTAGATCACTAATTTCATAGTTTACAATAAAATGCGTTTGAATGCGTTATTGAACATAATTTTGAATACCAGTACATCCATCATAAATGTTTTTTATCGAAACTCATTGGTAACGATGACACAGTAATTAATTTCTCTTTATTATTGTATTTTTATTATAAATTTATTTTGAAAATAAATTATTTTCCATTTTTAAATTTCAACCATTTTCATACAATTTATGAACAAAAGCCAATGGTGGGGGGGAGGTTGAACAACCAATACAACTCCTCTTATGTGTAGGCTACTGATGCCATTAATACGATAAATTAAACTGATAAATTCATACTCGTATTGTACTTCAATATTTTTTTTTGGTTTTTAGTTCAAGTTTATTACCCGACAGAAGAGAAAACATCTTCAAGCCGTTACAAACTTATTTTAATACCTAGTTTATGTATAATTATTGTTTTATACATCAAATGTCTTTTAAAACGTTAATTAAAACGAAATATCAGCTGCATTAATTAATTTAATTTAAATGCTATTAAATCAATTTTTTTTTTTTTACAATACATTGCATTCTATTAAATTACATCAACCTAATTGGTAAAGCTTAATTATTTTAGTTAAATAAGACCTAATGAATCAATAAATTTAAAATATTTTACAACTAGAATTAAAAAAAAAAAAATCTTAAGGATGCAATGTCTTGGTAGGTATGGTAAGATAACATCGAAATTTTAAATATTTAAGCAAATATTTTAACTAAAGAAAATTATGCATTTAATGATAACCTTAGAAATACCTAACCTACAAAAGATATACAGTTGAACATTTAAAATAATATCTAATTTCAATCACTTTATATTGCTTGAATAAAATATTAAAATAAAAATCAAGTATCATGTCTACATTATAGCATTAGGTAAACTTTTTTTTTTTTTTAAGAAAATTCCAATCGTATTTTTCACCAACGTTATTTTCCATAATAATTATTGGCAATTTGTCCAAAATATTACAAAATCTCTTAAAAAATAACAAATCTAAGAATATTTTAAGTTTTTATGAATCTAGGTAACTGATCTATTATTTTATTTTACACTAACATATTATATACCAAATAATAAAATATATAAAAGTTTATGCCTTCCACAAGTAAAAATGGTTTAAACTTAATGTTATACGGAAAGTAGGTAATTAATATTGACCCATTTACAAAATTAATATTTTCTGTTTTGATATAGCATAAATAGATTAATAAAATATATTTATTATAATATTAAATCATGCTTCAAAAAAAAAGGTAATAATATTATTTCATAATGCTATATTTTTACCAAGATTTTTTTTAAAAATATCACAACTTATAAGAAATATATTAAATATTTAAAAATGTATACCAATTTTTAATTAAATATAATATTCAAAAAAATATTTGTTGTTGTTAATATATGTGTCAATATATAACTATCACTCGTATATTGTAAATATACAAATCTGTAAAAATAATTAAGCCGTTTTAAATAATTACACTGGTATTAATTATTGACTATTTTTGTACAATACAAATAGGATTCAACAAAGTTATAACCTATTCAAATATTTTATAATTTTAAAAATTACAATATGAATCTTAAAATGGTAACCGATGTAAAAAATGTCGGAATAATTAATAGTCTAGCTCAATAACAATAAATACTAATGTATATAATATATCAATTTATCAATTTCATATATTTGCATAATTTTGTTATAGCACAAAAAATAAAAAAATAAAAATAAGGAACGCCAGAATACATTTGGTAAGTATTGAATTTAAAGTATAGAGTAATAGTTTATAAAACACAAAGTCATATGTAAATATGTTTTATTAATATTTAAAATTATATTTATATTTTTTGTACAGCAAATATTATTCAAGATAGTTGGTTAAAAAAAAAAAAATGAATTTATTATACAATGTAAAATGTTAGTTGATTTTTAAAAAGTATTGGTTTGGATTTTTTTTAATCAAACCAACAACCTAAGTATGAATATCTTAATCAATAATTACTTTCGCAGTAATCATAATTTTATAGTCATACTACATCAATAACTGGATTACGTAATAAATATAGTTTTCTATAATTAATCATTATAATTTAACCTAAAATGAACATGAATAAAAGCATTCAAATAAAAGAATATAAACTAATCTTTTATTCATATATGTGTATGTGTGTATAAATGTATATATATATTAATAATATGTATGTATAATATTTGCATTATAATATATATTAATAACTATTATGACTTATATGAATGTAATGTTATATATAATATAGTATGTTCATATACAGATACCTATAGTACACTTCTAGTTAAAGAGAAAAAATTGTTAAACATCAATTTATGATAAAATTTATTAACTAAAGATATATGGTATAAATATTGTCACTACTGTCAGGCAAGTAAGGGTATCAAACATTTATTTGTTTACATATGCTGCCAAGCTGTAGGTATTAGGTTATGTGTGGAATCTAAATACCTAGATATCTCTTCATGAAGCCCATGACCTAGCCAGAGTATTTGTAGTTTACGATACTGATCTTTACATAGATAAAGAGGATTTCCACGTTTTAGGCCCTGGTCAGTTTCACCATACTCGTCCAAATATGGCGGCAAAATGAAGCTACCTTTATTTAAAGTGGCTAACAATAAAACTTCACACTCACGTACACGCAAGAAAACTCCAACTCCACAACCACATGTGTATGCATGACCAGAACACGCTCCCACCTATAACAAAAAAACAATTATTTAAATTTAATGATTATAAAAATGTAAATATAATTAAAAAATAAATATTTAATTAAGAAAAGTTCTTAACTCCTGGAAATCTCTAAATAATTTATATATTATAAGTAGAATTTACAAATCTAAGTAATTATTATTGAAATAAAATGAATCAATGTACTAACACCTCATTTAAATTAAAATAATTAATGAAAAATAATTATATATCTAATCAATCATAGTTAAGAAAAATCAAAATTTACTAGAAAATACTATAATCGCAATTAATTGTAAACTATTTTATAACTCATTTAATATATAATTTTATTTGATAATGAAACTATTTTTGTGAATTTTCTTATTATAAGGTATAATTTCTACTTTAATAGGTTACATGAATACAGTAATGTTAAAATAAAGCATGTAGAAAAGATTCAAGTCAAAATGATATTTTCAATTTTAAATTCATTAAGGGAAGGAAATATTTTTGTAGAATATATATATAGAAATACCAAACAAATAAAAATCATAAGCAGTTAGATTTAAGTAAAAAAAAGAGCATAAGTCAACATAAAATTTATCTTTTAAGGAATAAAATTTAAAAAAAGCGTTCAATATTCCCACTTAAAAATGTTGCTTCAGTTATAAAGGTTAAAGTCTATTACGTACCGTTACTTTTTTTATTTCAGTTTGACAGCAATAGCTTTGAGAACAAAGCATAGCTCCACACACTAAACACATGGTTGGATTTCTTGAATCTTCATGATCACTATTCGGACAAGTAAACATTGATACAGTATTAATTAATTCACTGTAATCATCTGGAAGCTGAACTAATTCATTAATGTGCATCCAAGCTCTGAAAGGTATTTTTTCACCATTTTTGATTTTGATTAACTTTTCATTTTCAGCCCATTTATTTATTAATATATTAACATAAGGTTTATCCAATAATTCTTTACACGATGTTGGTAAACCTAAATAACAACACATATTATGGTATGTATCTCCATCAACTTCTGTTAAAACACCTGATGCTGGTACGCCAGTCAAGAAATGATAAAATAAAGAACAACACCTCAAAAATGGTATAGCACAACTCTCTATTGAATTCCAAACAGAAACTGTATTTTTAATATGTATACCTCGAAGTTTGTAGACCAAATCAGCTAAACAGTAAGTGTCTTCAGCTTCTTCATCTATTTCAAGCATTTCATTTGAGTTTTCTTCTATATTAATAGTTAATATAATCTGTACCAAGTTAGCTATGAACATTAAAAGTAGAGTATGGAAGTCTACCATAGTTCCTCTCGGTGCAGGGCCAGGCACTTCAGTATAATATAAACTCGGTAAAGTCATCGTCAATGAAACCAACATTCCAAAAGCATCCCAATCAAGTACTCCAATAGAGTTATCTCCACCATTATCAATTGCTAGGGATAAAAGTCGAAGGGCATGTAAATTAATTTCAGATTCTTTTTTCCATGTAGAACTAAGAATCCCTGAAACGCGTACAATTGCTTCAAGACAATCTTTTTGTCGACACGATAAATCACCAAGTAATGGTTTATTTTTATAACGAAGAATAACTTCATTTGAATGTATAGTGTAAGCACATGCTTTCCATGTCATTAATGGGATTTGATTATTATCTGGATGTGGATTATTGATACCTGTAGCTTTTGAGTAAGTACTGTGAGCAAATTTTAATATTGTATTAACTAAACTACTTGAAAGTTCACTGTCTATATATACTGATTCTTTAGGTACAGCCATTGGTGATGATTTATCAAACATAAGTATTTGCATAATAAAATCATTAGTTCCAATGGAAAATAGATTAGCTGGGGGTAAAACTTCTTCCTCATCATCATCTTCATCTGGTTGAAAATCATTATTATCTCGAATCACAATTACTTGAGCCATATTATTGGGACCCAAATTTGTAGCATTTAGTTCTAATGTAGGATCTCTTCTACTAGGAGTTCTTTGACGCTCAGGTTCAGGTTCAGAATTGATAAATTGTTGAATAATAACGGCATCTGAATTTGATTTTTCTGAAACTTTGGACATGGTAACCTTACTTTGTTTTAATGCCATATTTAATCCTTCTAACCAATTTTCAAACGATAAATTTTCAAATGTTTTCATATTCTCAGGTTCTGTAAAACTAGAAATAGGTGGTAACAATGGTATAACAGTATTACAAAGTCCTTCACAAAGAGGGCATAAATATTCATTTTTATGTACATCAAAACTTAATGAATGTCTCAATCGATATGGTCTTCTGTTTTCTTTAGCTAGAATCATATCAAAATGTTTTTGCCAGCAGGCAACATGCATAATATGTCCACAGGTCGAAATATGAGGAGAAGGACCAAAGTTTGCTGGTATATAGTAAGGGTCAGAAATGTGATCATTAACATTTTCTGAATTACTCCTTACTTGGCAAAGAACAGATGATTTTTGTACAAATGTAGCTAAAACCATAGCTTGACTATCATGAGTAACTAATTGTTCTTCTTGGCACAATATGCATGTATATCTATTATCAAATGTACTAGATTGAGTTTGATGGGGACCCAGGGCAACAGAAAGTTCAGTAATATTTTCTAAAATGTCCATACTAGAATCTTGATGAGACTCTGAATAAGTAGGAGTGTTTTCAAATAATGTTGCATTATCTTTCATAAAATTGTTTTGCATTTGAGCCATTTGAGCCATAACAGTAGCTCTTCGATCAGCAGCTAATTTAGCTCTTTTCTGTTTTTCTACTTCAATATCATCATTCTTTATACCTTCCATAGATTCTACTTTTTCTGTTTTTTCGCTTTCTTTTTTAGGTGCAGATACTTGTTTAAACTTGTTTAATGTCCAAGTAGCTAAGTCTTTATAAGCTTCAACTCTAGGGCTACGCCTAAGTTCATCTAATGCATTTACTATACCATAAGGTTCTGCACGTTCAGTAAATTTAAATGATTGATTTCCTTGATTTTCTTCTTCATGAAGTGCATATCCAATAAGATGAAGGACTTTATGTAGTTGAGACTCAGAAAAACTTCTACTTCTTAAATTTAAAGTTCTATCTAATATCAATCTGATAAGGTAAAACATTAAATCACATTGCATAATATTTGCAATCTTCTTAAAAGCATTACTAAACAATGGTAAGCTAGGAGGAGGACAACACTCAAGTTCACCAGCTGCCTTTCTCCGTTTTCTTTGTTCTTCTTCCGATTTAGACATCTCTTCTCTTGAGTAATGATAGAAAAATACATTGTAATCATTATAATAAATTGGTTTTAATTCATAAACTCCTTTTCCTCTAGTTTTTTTAAAGACAGCAACTTCATTTATTACTTTTTCTAAACATTCTTCGTCTTCAACAATATTTAAAAGGGTCTTATTTAATTCTGAATGAGGCATAGGCTCTACACACAACTGTTGTATCACTTCTTTTTTTATACAGTCCTTAAAGGTTACTTGTCCAACACCAGGAGTATATCTTTCGCCAACTATGGTGATTATAAGAGTTAGAAATTCTTCAACTAAGCTAATTGTTTGGCGAATAGATTCATCTTCTGATCCATTTAATAGGTTCAATTCAAAATTAGGTTGAGCCCATTTTAATAAATTAAATTTGTTCAATACATGTATCAAAAATTCATTACTATCAATTAATGATGCACCCATCTGAAGTATCACAATATCCTTATCTAACATTTCCATACGGCATTTAGAATTATGATACAAATATATTTGATTTAAAAGCGAATATCCATTACGTCTCCACATTCCTGCATGTACTTGTGATATTAAAACTAGAGCACGAAGAACTGGTTCAATTATCTGTTCAGGAGATTGCTTGGCAGTCTGCAATTCAGAATGTTCAAAACTTAGATCAAAACGGTCCAAACATAAATGAAGACCAGCAAGAAATCTAGACAGAGGAAGATGTATAGACACAGGTTCAGTAGATACATCATAATCAATACAGGTAACTTTATAGTCAATTAATTCTTTAACTACAGTAGCTCTTTGAGGATCTATAACTGGATTTTCCCAAATTTTTTTTAAAGTCATCCTATATACTTTTTTCAATACAATATTGTCTGATCCACACCATACCAATATCTTAGTAATTAATGGTCTTAATTTTATGTGTAAATTAAAAGCTGTTTCCCATTCTGGTTCATACTCCATATGTTGACCCACTTGCCGGGTAACAGTATCCATGTTTTGCATGTAATTAAGTATCTTAAGGACTAAAGAAACAGCATGACAAAATGATACTCTTAATTCAGGATTCCATACCTCGGGTACACAACCTAATAGATAACGAATATCTCCAAGAACATGTTGTGCTCTTTTGAATGGTAAGGTTGAAGTATTTCGTTCAAATTCTAATTTGCCTTGTCTGTTTACTTTATGTGAACACTCTGATAAAAATGTATTTAAAAGTTTATACAGAACATCGTGATGAGCCATTAAGTAATTTGCTAATGTAGGTACAGTAAAAATCTGTACACCCAATGAAGCAACAGAATATGAATAATCATGATCATCATTGATATAATCCTTCATTATCGCTCCATAGTTATCTGTGAAAACCTTAGCAAACTCTTTTTTATTTTCATATTCTATGAACATACCAGCAATAAAGAGTTTATGCCAATGTAGTCTTGCTGATTTCCATAATACAGTATCTTTGCGTAATATACTTTCAACAATACAACCTTCTGAGGGTGTAGATGCAAGTACAACTTCTGAAAATACTGCTCTCAAACGTTCTGAATATCCTAATAAATTTTGCATCCATGTCAATAATCTAAGTGCATAAATTTGATGAGCAATAACATGGGAATGAACTACAACTGCTTTTAAAGGTTTACTACCATGACGAGATGTAAATTTTTCAATTTCTTCTTTTAGATCTTTACATTGTACAAAACCAGCACATTTTACCACTGCTCTACCTTCTCGATCAATAGATGTTACATAATCAATGGATTCTCGTTGTGGGCATTTAATGAATCTATTAAGTGTTGTTATAACTTGATCAAATGTATGTGTCTCATCATTATAAAGAACTGTACAAAAACTATCTTCCTGATTTCTATAAATGCTATATAAATCTTCCATCTTTTCATCGGAATCAAGTCCAGCAGGTAACATAGGTGAATGTTCTAAGGTAAGTAATGTACGAGCATAACGAAGAACACATTCAAAAACTAAATGAGCACGTTTTTCCATATCATTTGTTAAAAAATTTAGATTAACATGTTTTTTTTCTAAACCAAGTTTATGAGTTTGACAGTAAGGATCCCGCTTCCAAGCTTCTACATCACCGCAATCACAACAACCACCTCCATAAGATGTTCCCATTTTGTATTTGTGATTTTTATGTGGAGATCGCTTAAAACAATCTACACATAACACACATGTACTATCCATTCCACATTCTCGACAATTATATGTTGGCTCACCCATTTTGAATACTCGACCACATACTGAAGGAGGATAGTTCTGTTGTGTTAAGCCACGTAATACCTCTATACTATTCCCACTGCATATAAATTCTTCAAGTGTATTGAATAAAACTTTTTCAGCCTTCTGTTCATTAAATGACCATTCTAAAGAATTGCCTTGAACTTCTGGCTTTAAAATACGTGGAACCCATAATTTCCAATAATTACGAAAATCAGATTCATTCAGGGTATTATTATCAAATTTAACTAGCCATTCAGAAACAATATTGATACTAATATCAAGATCTTTGGAATCATTGTTTTCATCCACTTCCATTGGGGTATCAAACTCACTCATTGTGTCATGGAGTAACCTACAACAAAAATAACATTAATTTTAACTTTAAGAATATTTTTTAATCTTTTTTTTGATAAGTTAAACTATATAAATTTAATTAATTGAATTTCATTTATTAAACACAATATATACAATAAAAACTAAAATATATGTATTATAAATACCTATTAGTAAATATTACATATTAATCAATTACATTTTCCTTTGTAATTCCATTTATAATTTAATTTAGTATATACATTTTAAAATGAAATCATAATAAATAATAGTTAATAAGTTTTCTAAATTGATTTATTTACTATATCCAAGATTATAAATGGTAATTAATTTCAAAACAGCTCCTATTACAAAATAATTGTTGACTAATAAATTATTCAACTCATTTAGTAAAATAAAACAAACAAGTACTATAAAAATAATTTTATTTGTAAAAATAAAAGTTCTAAATTATAGAACATGAACAGAAAAATTGACAATTTATGATATCTCATATTACTATAACTCTGAAATTATGATTATAGGAAGTGATTCTTAAATAATTAAAAATGTATTATTTTGTTATAATAGTAGCAATATGATTTTGAAAAATATTGATTATTTGCAGGCTCTATAAAATCATTATTTTTAAAATATAAGGCTATCATTTTCTATACATCTGATACTATGAAATATACTTGATTAACAATAAGTTATAAATTAGGGTATCCAAGTAGTATTCGGCATTTAAATTGATTATTTATAAACAATTTTAATTTTCGTTCACACAAGTACCTACTTGAATATTGTTCACATACCAAATGATAACTCTCCAGTTATTCAAGCTCGTCATCCTCAATGACCATAAACAACTGTTGAACCTTTCCTATTGTTTTTATATCCTTTCAAACATTTTCAACTACCCTGAACTAATTTTAATCTTCACTTTGGAATTACTACACATTTACTTTGTTAATGAGTTAGATTCCAAATTGTATGTTCCTTTGCTCACAATCTTTATTTTTCCCATTACTTATTTAACGCTCTGTGGTAATTACAATCCTTCTAAGCCTATTCAGAATTTATTCAATACCTTAATCTTAAGTTTTTGTGAGTTAATTTACCTACATTTTTGTACTGTATTCTTTATGTATCACTTTAACCTGTACTTGAATTAAATAAATAAAAATAAAAGGATATCAGTATATTCCTACACTAACAATAATATCACATATCTATTTTTTTACAAGTTTTTAAGAACATCAAAAATCTATTTAAACATAAATAAATTATCATTTCACAAATTATTTATATGCATACAGGTTAGGATACTGCTTTTAATTAAATTTAATTATATTTTCATCAATAATATTGACAGATATGTGGTACTGTCATTAGTGTAGTAATATACTGTTTACTAAAATGTTTTAAGAAAAAATGTAACAATGTAACATTGGATATTAATGTATAATTTACAAAAATATATTGTTTATTTATAGTAGCATGAAATAATAATTTCCATAGGATAAAAGCAAAACAGGAAATGAAGTTGATAAAATTGTTAGTGTATACGAAATAAAAGAATATGCTCTCTATTATTTTTTTTTTTTTTTTTTTTTAATTCTCATTTTAGAAGTATAACATTAATTAATAACTATTATTTACTCAAATTAAAAAATGGAATTTAACTAATGCATTATTAAACACAAATTATAACAGATCATAACAGTATGTAAAATGCAGGGATGTAAAAACATCGCACTGTTAAGCAAAATACTAATATTAGTTGGCTAACAGAGAAGACAATAAAAATGCACACTCATTGTCATTTATTTTACCAAAATTAGAACATTTAATTAATGGTACATGTGTGTTTACTAAAATTTGCTAATAATGTGTATAACTATTTGCACATAATGGAATATTAATTAAAACAAAAACAATAACATAGGTTAACACATGACACCCAGGAGATTACACTCTACACTATTACAGATAAACGTTCTTATTTTTTCTACTTACTCTTTTAACACGAATCTAACATGAGGCTTATGATTAAAAAAATCTATCTGTAACGAGAGTACAATACAATTTAAACTATTATTATTACGATTAGACAACAATACTACCGCGGAGACACGAAATGACAGTGGCGACGGTAGATCGTGAAGTTCCCGTATAGATAAAAACAAAAATGTTCAAACATGAGTATATTAAATTAAGAGTCCTCCGCGCATGGTTGATAGTTCGATCGGGTGGTCGACGCTAATATTACCGTCACGTCGGCGGATATGTCGTACCAGTGAAGTACGGCGGCCGAGCGGAAAAACAATTTATAAATCGTACTACTCCAGCTACTACAACTGTTACAACACAATAACAACAAACGAACGACGCAAATACTCACGACGGAGTAGTAATTATTATTATTATTTTTTACTTTATTTTTTTTATTTTCTGTGTACGTACCACTACGGCCGCGAAGCGCATACACACACGGGAGGGCCTCGGTGAAATTTTCCGCCCTAACGTCTTCGTTGCACAGCAAAGCACAACGCGAACGGTCGTATCGTCGTGAATCAACGGTAAAGGGTATGGCAGACTTTTGCGTATTCGCGTCGCCTTCGATTTCACTTTTTACGTAGAACTTTTCTCTCCCGTTTGATAAAAATAGCAGTAAAACAATATCTCCGTGAACAGCTGTCGCAGCCGTCGTCTATTAGTACGCGTGCGCGTGCGTGTGAGAGTCGGAATATTATTTTACTTTATCAGTAGGGAAAAATCGCGAACACAAGAGACGCGCAAACGGAAACGCACTACAGTCAGTGTGCGCGCGCGCACGTACTATGGATGCGCACACGCCCTCGAACAAAGACTTTGATTTCCTTGGACGGTTCGTCGCATAACCTCGGTCGCAGTCATGGGACCCGCGGGTGTCCCCTTTGCATTGGGAAACTGCATTCCGATCATATGATCGGTGTGAAAGGACCTTTCGCTTTGCACCTCGTAGTGATCCGCGTATGATAACCACTGATAGCGGATTAGACCGTGGCAAAACCATGGACATAGATACCACGGATTAAGATAATAGAGGACCCGTAACGATCGTATTGGCGGGTGTGAGGGAAAAATTGCCATGAAAGTACATGTAATGATCTGGTTAAGTGGGAGGGGGGTTTCTTTTTTGGCAGAGCTAACGCTACCTGGTTTATCATAAAGAAAACTTCTTTTAAATTTTCCCGCCTCTCGTTGTGTACAAATAATGTGTAGTACAATATTGTACCGATTATAGATGATCTATTACTAGGAAATTGGATATTTGTATGAACACAAGCCTGAATCTGCCCTTATTTATTTAACCTCAAGAGGTTACCTAATTCTAATCACAACTTCTTTAAGATAATAACTGCGGTAGAAGATTTTGGCAAATATACAAATGATTTACAGAACTTTTCAATAAAACAATTAAATTTATCCTTAATGGACATCATGAAGTACTGACATTTTCTTGTAGTGATCATCGAACTAAATTCACGACAAACATATTTCAATACTATATCATAATGTGAATGAAACAATGTACTTTGTCACACAATAGAAATATGAAACAACAAAGTGAATTGTAAAATAAATTGTTAAAATCAATAACAATACGAGTACTTACATAGTCACATAAGACGAATAAAGTATACTTTACCATTAATTTTATTGTTATATTTGTATAACCACTGTTCTGAACGCCATTTAATTGCATGGATCGCAGATAATTTACTTAATAAAAGTAGGAAAAATTCATGTATCATTTGTTGAAATGTATTATTTCTTGTCGAATTAAAAAATAGGTTCTCAAGTATAAATTACTTTAAAAGTTAACTAAAATAATAAATAATAATTAATAATTAACTATTTACCAAATGATAGAGCCACATCCGCTTAATGGAAAAATCCCCCTCGTAATTACCAACTCTATTCAATTAGGAGTCAACGTTATCAACATTCGTTTCTAATCCTGTGTTATTATCACAGATATACCTATATATATCTGTAGTTATCATAGAACAATATTAATTTAGTCCGTGATAGCATTAATTATAGAATAATCAATGGTGATAGATACTTTAAAAAAGTGTAAAATAGTGATGGGAATAATAGAATGATTTTATTCGAATGATTCATACAATTATTTTATTATTCGAATGATTTTTAAAATAATCGAACTGACTTGATATTTCAAATAATGGAATGGTTCAATTATTCCCATCATTAATATTACTATATCCGTGGGTAAAAAATCGTTATTATTCGCACGCTTTGTTATTAAAAATTACTATCATAAATAAAAGATAAATTGCAGAGATATATACTGGCAGTATAACACTGCATAGATAAATTCATGAATTCCTGCCTATCGAATGATTCATCATCGAATTTAAAATTTAATATTACTTATGTAAACGGTGTTGTTTTATTTTTCCAAGATTTAAGGTTATTTTATTCTTTTCACTCCATTAACCAGTGATTTTTTTTGTGTTTTATAAATAATTTAATTTTTATGAATGTTTAATATTAAAATCCATTAAGTAAATATTTGCAATCATTTATATATTGCTTATAAGGTATAATGATAAATGTAATTAATTGTTTTTTTTTTATTTACATAATGATTGTCTACTAAAGCCATTATTCTTAAAATTCTCTTAGATTAAGGAATAAATTATTAAGTATCTACGTCCTAAGTGGTGGATTTATGGACAGACTACATAGTGCTTAGGGTTCAAAAGGTAGGGAAAGCGCAAACATGTTTCCACTACCTTTTTCTTTATCACTTTTTTCAGCACTTATTATAATTCTCGTGATTTAATATTTTTTGTGTCTTGTCAAATATCCTGACATTCAGTTAATAATATTTTAAAAATCAATTATCTAAATGATTGCTGCCATTGCTATTGTGTTGTAGCATTTATTTCATCAACTACCGTTAATCATATTTATGAACAACATAATTTACTAGACTTAAAAACATTTTTATTTAAAATGAATCTTACAGAAGTGTAGGTACTCAAATATTGAAATCATGTTGTGTATTTTTACATTCATACCTGTTACCAATTATTCAGAAAAACAATCTTTTTCATGTTTGACGAGAATAATGTCTTAAGATAGAATGAAATAAAACAAAATTACTTGGCAGATATAATTTGATGAAATAATAAATTACTTTGTTTCTGAAAAGTCATGATTAAGACAAATTAAATTTGGATTAATCAAACTTATATAATTGTTGTTGTAATAGTTACCTATTGTTTTTTTTTACTATTGCTTAATATTTTATATTTGATTGATTGTTCAAAGTATTTTATTTAATTTTTTCATATAATTATTATTTAAAATAATTTATAATGAAAACTTTCTTTTTATTTACAGTACATGCAAAAAAAAAAAAAATTTAAAAAAATAGTGAGGCTATAAATAGGGCAAGGAAAAGGCACAACCAGAATATAAAAAATTTACAAAAGGGAATCTATTTTTTTAATAAGATTTTGGAGATCTTGTTATTACTTCTTAACTATTTTTTACTCGACATGAAAGTGTGTGTTCAAAAGTGCCTAGGAGCACAAAAATCCTAAATCCAGTACTGGGTGTATGCAATATTTTAACTTTTTTATGTATATCACTTGATACGTACAGTAAACCATCAAACTATCACATAATATTGTATTAATAATATATATGGTTTACTTTAATCAATCCTCATTTTACATGTTGAGAAAAATCTACATTTTATTTGTGTAGGGATAGAAAATCAAATTCTGTTCAAACATAAGGTAAACAATATATCATACTAAAATATTGTATTTATAGAAATATTTCGGTTAGAGACTGTAGATTTAGATTTACAAAAACCATGTTCATTACCATCTAATATAAGCCTAAAAACACTTGATAACTTTGGTTCTAATAATTTTTCAAATAATTTAGAGAGTGTGTTTAATCTTGAAATAAGCCAATAATTACAAATATTAGACATTTGACCAGATTTAAAAATTAAGTAAATATATATAACATTAGTTTATTTGCATAATATATATATTTATATTTATCAAATACTGTAATATGCATAGTTTGTAACATTCCTAAATTACAATTTAATTAATGACAAAACTTGACAAACTCTTAAATGAAAATCTACAATTGACCAAATAATTTATTATGAAAACACAATACCTATAGTTTTTGGATTCATTAATAAACAAGAACAAAATTATTTTAAATTCTTTAAATTTTTAGTACTAAATCTGAATTTTATATTTTAGTTCAAAACATTAAACATCAACATCTTCAATAATAAATTTGATTTGAGGTTTATTAATTATTTGTGTCATTTTATAGCTCTGTAAAAATGAACAATCAAAAAATTAAATTAGTATTTTTATTTTTTTTTTTTATATGATAAAAAATAAATCTTACCTTAGCAGCTATACTGTGCAATACATCAGATGTAGCCTGTCCTGTTTGTTGAACCATTTTATACAAATATCCGTTTTGGTTTTTCAACAAATTGTATGGATGTTCAAATTCAACCATTTTACCTGCATCCATAACTAGCACTTTGTCAGAATCCATAACAGTATTCAAACGATGAGCAATTGTTAATACTGTGCAAGCTTGAAATTTATTTCTTATAGTATTTTGAATTAATGTGTCCGTTCTGAGATTAGTAAAATAATTTTAAATGAAATTATTATTATAATACTATTTTAAATTAAAATTTATCTTACTGTGCATCAACATTAGCAGTAGCTTCATCCAATACAAGAATTTTATTACTTCGCACTATAGCTCTAGCTAAACATACTAATTGTCTTTGTCCAACACTAAGATTAAAACCCCCTTCAGCCATTCTAGAATTGAGACAACCTGGTAATTCTTTAACAACATCTTTCAACTCAACCTAAAAAAATAATTATTTTTAAGTTAGAAATAATTATAAGTCTGTGTCTAATTTTTGATTATTTATTAAGAAATTAAAAGGCTTCTAACTTCTTCTAAAGCATTCCATAGAGCATTATCTGAATATTCATTGAAAGGATCTAAATTTGTTCGCATTGTTCCCGAAAATAAAACTGGTTCTTGAGGAATGATCGAAATTTTTGATCGCAGCTCATGTAATCCCAAATTATTTATATCTATATCATCAATAATAATGGAACCTTCATTAAGAGCTAACCTAAATAATGCACTTATTATAGATGATTTTCCAGCACCAGTTCTTCCAACAATTCCAATCTAAATACAAATTTATCATTATTAATTGTTTTGAAATATAAATAATAATACTAAAAATTACTTTTTCAGTTGGTTTAATATGAATATTGAGATTTTTTAAGACATGTGGTGTTTCCATGCCATAACGTAAATAAAAATTTTTAAACACAATTTCTCCTTTATGGGGCCATTCTTTTGGTGGTTTTTCATCTATGTATTATTATTTAATATGAATAAATATTACATGTAATAAGTATGGAATTAATTTGTATTTTTTTTTTGTATTTTAAAATTACCCTCAGAAGAATCAAAGGCAGATTCCTGTGGGATATTTGTATATTCTAGTACTCTTTCAACTGATGTCATCTGGTTTTCTAATTCTGCTGATTGTCTCATTCCCCATTGAAACATACCAGCTAATCCAATTGCTTGAGTAATAGCCAAACCAACGTCTCCTCCATAAAAAGCTTAGATAAAATAAAATTTAATATAATTAGATATAATTAATTTTTAACAAATTTAACTTACTATTTCTAACAACATAGAAGCTAAATATGACCACACCTATGTATACAAGACAAACCAAGTCCAACCAAAAACCAAATGCTCTACTTGAAGCAATAAATAAATACCATGCTGAAGAGTGTAAATCCTAAAATTTTATAGCATAATTGAAATCATTTTTAAATTTTAAAATACCTAATTACATTTACTAACTTGATGATTGTCAAATTCTTTAGATAAAATTTCTTCGGCTCCAAATGCTCTAATTGTTGTTAATCCTTGAAGGGATGCATTCAAATGAGCAAAAACCGGACTTCGTGCTAAATTTATTTTAATAATAACATTTAAAGTATTAAAACTCTATTCTATTAAGATAATTGTTTTTGCTTACTAACTCCTTCCAGTCGTTTGACACTTCGAGAAGTTGATATGTATATAACTCTAAGATAATAAAATACTATACCAACTATAATTAATGGTATGATAAGATAAATATTAACTAATCCAATAACAATAACAATCCCCAACAGTGTCAATCCAATCTAATAAAAACATTTAAATTTCTTATTAAAATGGTGTACATATACAATTTTTTTGGTGTGGTGATATAAACAAACAACAATTAAGCATGATCAATTTTAGCAAGCACTTTTGTCATATAGTTGAAAATTAATTTTATAAATGTATAATTTATATTTTAGTTAAAATGCAAACTATTACTTGCATTGCAAATTTAGTTGGATGCATTGGTAATTATTTCATTGTCATACTGTATACTATATCTAAGTAGTTTTATACAAAATAAAGAAGAAACAAAAATACATGATTGGTTATATAAAATTATGTTAATGAAAAATATTTGAAAGATTGTTTTCAAGTTAAAATAACTCTTAAATGGTACATTAAAATAATAAATAGTTTTTATTTTATTTTTTAATTTACACTCAAATAACCTACGCTTAAATTATATATTCACTGAAATATTGAATGTATTGAATTTTAAAATTAAATAGATCCCTTATTAAACTATACATACTACAAGATTATTAATTTAATGATTTTTTATATTACTTGTACAGAATCCATTAAAACCGTTGGTAATAACTCATCAATTGCACCCATATCTTTTGAAAATCTGTTAAGAATTCGTCCTAATAACATGATTGGTTGAAAAATGTATTCTAAATAAAATAACTATTAATTTACCTGATGAATTTGTATTAAAAAAGTTCATTGTAGCTCTAGTTATAACGTTGAACATATTATTGTGTAAATTCAAAGATGCTTTCATACAGACTAACACAAACATTGTGGACCTGATGAGAGTAGCCAATATTATCATTAATGTTATAACAGCAAAAACTATGAAACAAGCTTTTCTTGAAATTGTCCACCAGAGCAATGTATCAGATATTTCATTAGTTGTTAATGTGTTATTCTCTGCAGCTGTTAATATACTATTATTCACATTATCAGTATAACGATAAATATTTTCTTCTAAATTGACCCTAAAAAAATTATTAATATTTCATGTATTAATAAAATTTCTAAAATATATTAGTATTATTTTACAGTACCAAAATGTTATCCAGAAATCTCCGCCAGATGCTAAAACTTGTGTAAAAATACAAATAAACAGTAAAAATGAAATTTTAAGAACATTTCCGCCAGCAGAAAAGTATGATGAGTATACAGTAATTGAAACATCTCCAGAAGTAGAAGTTTCAGCTACTTGAATTGGTTCACTGAATATTTTTTCTTCGGTGGATGACCCAATACTTTGAATGGAAATTTGTCGAGTGAAAATTGTATGTAGGTCTAAAGTATTAGTATAAATATGTTCAGGATAAGATTCATTGTCCGATACAATTGTTGTTTCTACAGAAGGTTTTAGTAGTTCAGTGAAATCTAAACCGCTGACTTGAAGTTCCTGATATGAACCCTCACCTAATATAGTTGCCTCATAAGTAAAAATAAATATTAGTAATTTTAAAATTCTAACACAATCTTATTAATTGTATTATAGTAGATCATTTCTGAATTATGTTAGTTCATACGACACTAATAAACAATACTTACATTTTGCATTAAAATAATTTGATCTACTTTAGTTAAATATTGTAACTGATGAGTTATTAGAATACAAGTCTTTTCTTTGAGAAAACCTACAAAATTAATATTAGAAACATTGTATATTTTTTAAAATTATTAAGTTACCTTTAATACATTTATCAAATAAATGCTTGCCCACATGAGTATCAACAGCAGATAAAGGATCATCCAATAAATAAATATCTGCTTGTTTATAAACAGCTCTGAAATCAAAATAAAGAATTTTAAATATCAAAAACCAGAATCAACCCAAACCTTATTTATCTCTGTATGAAAAATGTTAACTATAATTTTCTTTCTTCAAGCTAACCTTGCTAAATTTATTCTCGCTTTTTGTCCACCACTAAGTTGAACTCCTCTTTCTCCTACTAGTGTTCTATCACCATAAGGAAGTTGTTCAAAATCCGTTCTTAATGCACATACATTTATAATCTGATTAAAGATAGGATTGAAAAGAATTAACATTAAGGATCAAAATATTTTTTTATTGGTTAATACTTTTTCATAACGTTCCTTATCCATTGGAGAACCAAACAATATGTTTTGCTGAACAGAACTAGAAAATAACCATGGTTCTTGTGATGCATAAGATACAACACCACACACTGAAATGTTTCCTTCAGACAGTGGCAATTCTTTCAAAATAGCATAAATTAATGAACTCTAATAAAAATAGAAAAATATATAACTTATACAATTTACTTGCACTTGATTGTACAATATACTTTTCCGGATCCTACAGGACCGATGACTGCAACCAATCGGCCAGGTCTTACACTAAGATTTATATTTTCTAAAGAATTTTCAGTTTGAGCATCTGTCCATTTAGCTGTAGCATTAGAAATAACTATGCCTAAATCATAAGATTGTGTAATTTTATTTTGATTTTCTACACTTGTTGGACTGACATTTCCATCGATCTCTATTTCTTTTTTATCATTGTTATCTGCTGCCTTTTGTTCTTTTGAACGATTGGCCACTTGATTTGTTTTTTCTTCGTATAATAAAAAATTCTATCAAAAAATGTAGATTTTTAAACATCCATACATCAAAATTATAAACAATTTTTTTTAATTTTCAAATATACGATGTATTTGATACCTGTAAACGTTTAATAGATACTAATAATTCGGCCATTTGTCCGATACCTTGAGGAAAGAATGAAGTCATTGTCATCCGTAAAATAGTATAGTACGAAGTTACGACGAAAACCTAAAATTGAATGAAAATTTGAATAATTGTATTCTGATCATGGTGTGCCCACTTCAAAATGTGTTCTAATCGGTTTACTTTTTGAGCAGTAATGAAGTTTCCAAGTAGCACATAAGAACATATACTGCAAAACAACGCAAGCCTAGTATGAAATGTCGTGAACGATCCAAAAATGGCTCTTATATAAGTGGCTCCTTTAATGTATTTAATTTCATCTCTATAACAAAATTCAACATATTAATTAATTGATGATGAAATAAAGTCTTATGTTAAGTTTTTAGTACGTACTTTCTTGCAAATTGTACGAGGTATGCAAAAGGTTTTTCCCAAGTATACATTTTAATCACTTGTATACCCGAAATAATTTCATTCATCAAACGCACCCTTTCATCAGTCCTAACGGCCGTCATTAATCGAAGTTCAGATGATTTTTTCCCCAACCAACCTTTATATTAAATATTTTCTTTATTTAATTATATTAATATCTAATATTCATCGAGTTAATTATACTGACCTTGTAATGGAATAAGCATGAGTAATACGCCTATTCCAAACAATGCCGAAACGCCTATTTCTTGCCACAAAAAATATGTGACAACAATTGTTTCCAGAGGACCAATTAATATATAGAGCACTAGTGTTATTGCTATGTCAAATCGATTTACATCATTTGATAATAAATTTACTACTTGACCAACTGTAGTTTCGCCAATAGCAGTTTTACTTAATCGTAAGGCCTATATTACACAATAAATAATTATATTTTAATGAATTACAAATGTATTTTACATCTAACAAAAATATTATTTAAGTACCTATTCAATAATATATTAAGATAGAAAGCCGATATAACTCAACAATATAACTATAAAACCAATTGCATATTTTAATATAAACTATACACAGGGGCAAACTGGCCAGAGAGTCAATGGGGTAATCGTCTCCCAGTCCCTGGGTAGAGTTGTACCCAGGGTCTGGGAGACAATTAGAAAATTATATATGCTCATAATATTAAAATATAATAGTAATATTAATTTTCTATTAGAATATATGAATTGAGATGAACTGAGCACTATTGTCTAGAAATAATTATTAGTTGTAACGTGATAATTAAGGTTAAGTTTTACATGCATTTGCATGTTTTTTTTCCTTAAGTTCAAATTGATCGGTTTTCAATGTGTGCACGATTTAGCCAATTTTAGATTAAATAGAACCATTTTTTTTGCAAATATTGAATTAATGCATTTAATTGCATATTTATAGATTTTTGAGAATCTAGTTAATTTTGTTAATTTTTCACTTAAATTTTCAAGTTTATATATTATTGCTAATTTTAAATTGTATTTATTTAATGAACGTTTATTTTTCGAATCGTCGTAAGTATACTACATACCTATATAATGTTATCTTGATCGGACGGCCGATAAAATTATCCACACGTTATTTAACGACGTACTTATTAGAGGTTTGCACGGGCCAAAACTGTTAGGGGACCTGCACGGTCCATATTTTCGACTGACGTATAAGGCCCGTCTCACAGACACGCATATCGTCCGCGACGTTTTCGAATTACATTATTTAAATTCATACGCGCCAAACCGACGAGAGCGCGTATGGGTTTTTTTCGATCGGTGTGTATGAACTCAAAACAATGTAAGTAAGCGGAAAAACGCCAAGTATGAATGTTCGGATCTGAAACGGGCCTAAAGCCTTAAAGATATTTTTCAAAGCACAGCTCAGCCCCAACGGATGTTTTATCATTAAAATTGAATTTTCGTACAAGTTTTATACATTTTAAAAAACCTCACCCAGACCATAATAAATTTTAAAATTTATTATAATTATATTATATAATGGGGTCCATATATCGTTTAAAAAAAGCTCGGCTCGCCCTGGATTTAAATAATAAGGGCCTGGCTCATGCTATGGTATCTAGTACTTATATTGCGAGACAGTACAGAAGTATTTCATTTCATTATTACGATTTATACACTATATTAGTATAAACTAATCTTTAATGTAATAATAACAAGTTATGATAAATAATACAATTTTTTATTGCAAATAAATCCCTAGTGATAATAATAGGTCCAGTTGATTAACGCCGGGCCCCTCAATACCCAGTCCACCCCTGTCTAAGCATAATACATCACTTAAATACTCATTTTCAGATTTCAAAATATGTTAACAATGATTTCGTAATAAAATAAATTGTAAAATAATGATATTATAAAAAAAAAAACAAGGTAAGTACTCTATTTTTAATTTTAATCAACCTTATAATATTTCCAAAATTAGATAAAATCCCATATTTTGTATTATAATTAAACAATTATTGTTAAATTGAATCATATTTTTTATCATGCCTGATATGGTATGGTGCAGAGGCGGATCCAGTATCTCATTTTTGGGGGGGCCCTTTTGAAAAATAACCAACTAAAATATACAAAATGTTAATTTTAAATATATCAAATAAAAATTACTACTTTTAAAAGTGATAATTTAAATATTAGTATCTAAATTACCGTGTTTGGCATAATCCTTTTAATTTGTGATTCAAAATATTCTTTAAAACAAATTGCCGTTTTGCAGAATCATTAAAAAACGCAATAACTTATTTCAATAGGCTGATAGTATTTCTGACAGAAGCCACTCGTAATTTAGATAAATAAGAAAAAGAAAATTTGAAACATGGATAGCGTACAGCTATTTAACATTCTTTTAAATATTAGTTATGGCACCAATATTTTTAAAATCGTTACACTCCATCCATCAATTCCTACGCCTATACAAATTTCAAATCGAGTGCAAGGTCTTTTAACATATCTAATACAATATGACCAATAGCAAGTTAATAATTTTTACTCTCCAGGTGTAACATCCATATTATTATAGTGGCGTAACCAAGAGAGGGGTCTAGAGGACTAAAGCCCTTTTCTCCTAGATCGTGTTTATGTGTATGTGCTATACTAGTAGATATACCGTAATTTAAGTATTTTATAACTTTGGTACAAACTTAATGTTTATTTATTATGTTTCTTAATAACGGATTTTGTCTTTGGTACACATTACTATCTTATTGGTGGTTATCATGAAGGTTTTTGGCGACTCTCGTCTAACACTACCATTTTACGAGTATAATCACTATACTGTTTATATTATGTCACAGCGATGGCATAATAGATCAAATGTATTTCAGTCTGGGAAGGGGGGGCAGGCCTCTAGCCCTCCCTCTGGATCCGTTACTGGTGTGTTGGAGCCAGTGGCGTGGCGAACTTAATTCACTAATAAGGTACAATAGTTAATTATAATTTATTGTCAAATCCACCAACCACAACAAAAATTTATTTATTTAAACAAGAATAATTTTTTAACACATATGATTACCTTCCAAGTTATGTTATTGTCTCTTCAAAATTAATTTTGGAATTTCTTTCACAACTCAAAAATATTGAACTTTCCAAACCCTGGGACACTCACCACACTTTTATAAAATTGAGACTCATGCCTTAAATAAAGTTTTTCATCACGCCACTGAGTAGAACGATCACATTAATGCTGATTTTGGGACTAGCATGAATCCAAGACTTTAAAAAGGTTTAAATTTTTTAATTTTAATATAACTGTACCTTATTATAAATGAGGTAACACATAGCCACACGCATCTTCATTCCTAGGTGCGTGATAAGCATATCGTAGGCTGTAAAACTAAAAATCTTCATCATAGTGGTTACCAACAAACAAATTCCATAAAATATGCCTAGATGAGATGATTTATCTGATGGCGTGTCTGGATCAAATTGAGCGATTACACGGCCCAAGAAGAATGGCTGGTAAGCACTACAAATTAGTCATATCAATACTCAACTAAAGTATCAGCATTTTTGTTAAAATATATTTAAACTCACTTATAAATTATAAATTACATATTATATAATCGATAAAAATTAACATATATAATATTAATATTTATAGAGGTCTTTATTCTAGGTCATTCAACTCTAAATATCATTACAACCAGTGTAATAAAAAACAATTTTGACTATTTATTGTAGTTTTCTACAGGAGTAGATCGAGGGGAGATGGTGTATAGGAGGTCAGTTGATCCACAGTTAATATTTATTGCCAATATTTCCACTTGAAGATTTCTTATAGTTTTAAGTGTGCCAACTATCGATAGAAGTTGATACTCAACTGGGAAAAATGCCCCAGTTAACCCTGCCTTAAAAAATACGCCACTGATTTAATTGTACAGTTAGACATATCTATGGCGGACCTCATGTAAGACTCCATAAAATAAAATATAAGTTAGTTGTTTTAAATGATAATTATGAATAAACTTAAAAACAGATATTATATGATCATATTGTGCTTTTTATTACATTGAATACACTTATAATCTAATTTCAGCCCTAATAAGTGGCCTCTTGAAAAAGTCAGATCCACAGCTCTCTAACTGTGGATCCACCCCGGATCTTCTACAAGAAGATTATTCAAAATTTGTTAGTGAATTATGTTCAATAACTACCCAAATACCCAGTCTAAAAAAAAATATTTTTGATTTCAAATTCAAACATAATGTAAATTATGTTATTTCTAATGGTTACTCAAATCATTTTTGTTTTTAAAGAAAATTAATTCTTACCTTAAAAAAATTTCAGTAATTGTGCGAAAAATTCCATATAACAAAAATGCTGGTCCAAACATTTGAATTAAAGCTCTTCGTAGACTAGGTTTTTTTTTTGTCTTTCTCGCTCTAATTAACTCCATTTTCCATTTCCTTTAATGAAAAAAGTATATATAATGAAAATAATAAATTTAATATTGAATAATTAACTTCTCTAGTTGATTTCCTAATATTGCTGACGCATGTGTATCTAATGTTGTATATAAATCATTTACTTCTAAATCTCTTTTTTTTCCTGTTTTGAATAGATTTAAAGTCCACCTAAATAAAATCAACAGAGACAAATTAAAATATGTATTATTACTGCAACAAATTATAGTTACCAATTATATTTAAAATATATTAATTTAATAAACTTGATGATTCTTTCTGTGCATTTATTGAATGATTTATTTGATCAATACATAAGAATATGACATCAATCATTAAAAGGTACTGAATAATTGATACCAGATTACTACCGAATTTTCAATACCTAATACTAAAGAAAGAGGTGGATACCCGTATAGAGTGCCATCGTTAAGCTTAATTTAGACGATTGTCTAGGACCTCGCACTTAAAATAAATTTGGAGGCTCACAATTGATCAAGTTAAAATAGTTAAGATTATAGGTGTAAGGAAATTTTACTGATTTTGCCTAGGGTCTTGCTAAAGCTTGCGACGACATGTCCATATAAATTATTAATATTATACATCAATATAAAAAAATAGTTTATCGGTTATACATATTGTATTGTACCATTTACATGTTCATTTTGCAAACAAATAATTATTAGAATTTACGAAAAAAAGAAGGTACAAAAAAACTAAATAGTGTTGTACAGAGACATAGTAGGAATCAAGTTAAGTTTCATAGAATATTAAGCTGTATATACTCAATATAAAATGGAAATTATACAATATTTATAATTCCAACCTTAGTCACCAGACTTAGTTCAATGATAAGTAGAAAATTTTAACATAAATTATATCCATAGTTCAAAAACTCACCTATACAATGTTATTATAATATTATAGAGCGACATTTTTTTATACTTAACATAGGCGCCGTAATGGAGGACAAAGAAAAAATTAATATAAAAAAATAATGAATAATGAAAAAAAATAATAAAATAACACTTATATTAAATTTTATATTAATTAGTTATGATTTATAACTTAATACATTTAAATAATTATTAAATAAATTAAATAATAATTGAGGTCATCTAGGATTTTGCAAATTTTTAATTACCATAAGTAATGACATTATTAATGCTTTAGCTGAGTTGGGACATTCAGATAAATTCATATATAACGTCAAAAATAAAAACAAATGTCCTTTACCCTTATTCTTTGTGGATATTTTAACACAAAACAATAACAAAGACGTTCTTGAAAGTAAGTCTCTACTCAATACCGAAATCTCGATTGAGAAATCACATAAGAAACATGGTCCTCACAATGTCACAACGTCAATCCTACGGACACACACGAAATATTTACCACCACGAACCTAAATGCGTTAAGTGTGGTGATAATCTCCCCACGAACGAGTGCTCCAAAGATCATCACAGTCCTGTCATATGTGCTCTTTGCAATGAGGAACACACAGCTAACTACAAAGGATGCTCAGTTTACAAAGCTGCTCTCAAAAAAAACAGTTCCAAAAGTTACTCCAGTCAAAAACTGATTCCAACGCCCTGTCTAAAACTAAATCGTATGCGGAAACCACCAAAAATCAAAACTCATTCATAGAACACAAAATTGCCGATACTCTTTCAAGTCTTATATCTAATTTAAAATCACTAATTAGTCCCCTTATCTCTCTTCTTTCTACAGTCTTAAAAGCTCTTACAACTAACAGCAGTATTTAAATTAAGAATAATCTAATTATATTCATTATCAATTTCAATTAAAAAATAAAATATTAATACTACCAATGTTATAAATACATATATAAACATCATTATATAATTATTATTAGTTTATATTATAAGAATCTCAAACTTATAATAGCACTCAGTGTGCTGAAATATTTTAATCCACAATAAATATAAAAAGAAATAGTATGATAATAATAATACCCAAATGTGAGGATTTCAAAAAGGTTGGCATTATTTCTAGGGTGTGGAGGTCGTTTTTCTTTAAAACCAACGTCCATTTTTTAATCTGAAACAATTGAAATTTATGAGAACAATTCAAAAAATAAATGAAGTCCATTTAAATAATTGCTTAACAATTACACTAAGTACCATTATAATTAATATGTTTGAAAATTTTAACTTAAATGTATTTATTAAATTAAATACTAACTACAAATAAAGGGTAGATCGAGAAATTGTTCATGGGAGGAGAGGCGCATAGCCATATGTAATATATATTAAAATAGGATATATGTATGGTTAGTTGTAAATTTAGAAATTAATTAAGTTTTATGACAGTTAAAGGAATAAAATAATATAAGTTTTCGTTGTTTTTCTTTAGAAAATCTATTCATTACATTTTTTAGGTTATTTGTACTGTCAATATTTAAATCCTTATGGATATACATAAAATTCAACCTTGTTAATCTTTCATTTCTCATTCTTGTTCTTAACCAAGTTTTAAGCAACCTTAAAGAAGAAAAACTTTTTTTCTGCTGTTGCGACAGAAATTTGCAATAAAAATAAAATGTTAAGAAATTTTGTATGTATAAAATAGTAAATTTGATCTAAATAATTAAATGTCACATGAGCAAAATTTATATTTTTAATTTCAAAATTTACTAATAAAAAACTATTGGTTTTTTCCACAGAAATGACCGAACTGAAACCAGCGAAGGTCAATGATTTCCTACAATAACGAAGATAACGTTTCAATAATTTTTATTACAGTTTACTTTATGATATTAGTATGGGCATATTTTAGAAGGGCGAAAGGGCAATCACTCCCCCCTGAATCCGTATTTAAGGACTTTATTAAAATGTGATATACACATTTTAAATTTTTTTAATGTGGATTATTTTATAACGAAATCAAATTATGCGTGGCTATGAGTACTGAATTGAGCTCTTTGTCGGATCCATACTTAGTGAAAAATCAAATAAAACACAAACGTAACTTGCAAGATTCTTGCATATTATGTTTTAAAATATAAAAATGTGAAGGTATCAAGTTAAATATTAACCTAATTTGATATTTAAATACTTATTTTTAACTGTCTGATATGAAGATATATACTTTATATAGTTTCATAAGTTACCAAATCGAACACTATAATAAATGTTTATATTAGTTAAAAGGGTCTTACAATCATAAGTTGTTTACTTTTAAAAAATAAATGAATTTTTGTTTACTCTCTGATCTTTATTGAAATAAATATTTATTAAAATCATAAAATTACTTACCAATGTTAATATTCTGTTAGTATATGGTAGTAGCTTATCCATGAACAACTCACAAACCTAATAACATAAATCTTCTTTAAAATTTGGCAAAAGATAAATAAATATAACATTTCAAAATGATTTTACTATTATTATGTAATGGTTTTTCTTTTTTTTTTTGATTTTATCACACTTTATTTTTATGTCAGTTGTAGATTCAATTTGTTATATAATAGAATATAAAAAAAACATACAACGTTATCTTATACATAAATTACTTTTCGAAATATGAAGCACGGGTGAATAGTGCATCTTATTCATTTAAAAAAAAAAATTAAAGCATAATATACCGTTTAATATATTTATTTTTTTTTTTTTTTTTAGGACCGAATAGAATGTAATATATTGAAAGTGGAAATGTTATGATTTCTAGGATATTTTATATAATTCTAATTATTATTTTATCTAAAACTTTAAATTTATTGAATTACATATATTATACACGTAAGAAATATCACTACAGAAATTAAATAATGTATAATCAGTTCTGTTGCGCCGAGGCACGTTCAAATGCCGTTTGCCGTGACAACCTACGGGTACAAGCCACAAGATTACAAATAACAATAATTAATAAATATATATTACCAGTGGCGTAGCCAGGGGGGATTTTAAGAGTTCAAACCCCCTCTCCTCTTGGCCTAAAATAAAGGGAGGACGTTATTGTCCTATCAATGTCTTTATAATCTACGATTTATATAGGTATGATGAGAATTATTTTAAATAATCAATTTAAATTTTATAATGGCTTTTTGACGAGCAAGTGGCTTTATATCGTGTAGTACTATATTATACGATATTGCGTACCTATCGATATCAGTTTTATACACATTATACCTAACTTAGAATGTAAATGCTAATATTAGGTATATAAATATTTTTAGTTAATACTTGTACTTATATTAAAATTTAATAAAGTTTTTATTTTAATTTTATACTTTTACCTGTGTATCTACGAATATATTAAGTCAATAAATGTGCACTCTGTACAATTGTTATAAATAATAATAACGTTCACAAATAGGTATCATTATTCGTCTAATCAAAGATGTATTATTTAATTAGCGTACAACTCATTGGACCATTTACAGTTTTACCATCCCGGGACAATATATTCTAGTGATGTGCAAAAACATAACTACCCCCCCCCCTGGGATAATTCCTAGCTACGCCACTGTGTTTTACAATAAAAAGTCAAGGTAAAAATATAACACATTTTATAGTTAACAAAATTATGCAAATCCTTAATACTATATACTGTTTATTTTGACTTAAATAATAGTATTGATAATAGACTATTCTATAATCAATAATACTAGGTATTCAATACTAGCTATTCATATTCCAAACTTGGAAAATTTTTAAATTTTAACCTAGACATCGGAGAAAATTTTGTTTTTTTGAGGGGTACAACCCCTTACCCTCCCCCCTGCGTGCGCCACTACTGCGCTAACATTTTCGGGTACTCGATGGTTTTTGATATACGTAAACAGTTTAGCTAAATCTTAACTGCTAAGAGGTAATCAGTATTAAATTATACATTACACAATTATTCAAATAAAAAATATTAAAATATTTCGTCTTTTAAATTAACAAAATTACGTTTTAAAAATAAAATCTTTAGTATTTTATGTGAGTGTTATTAGTGATATTAAATTTTGTTATCATAGTTATTGGTTGGTTTTTATTTTACGATTAATTTATTTCTGGTGTGATATTCGTATCTAAATATTAAAATATTGTACTATTGTCATTCGCCTCTATGCCTGATGATTTAACTAATGAAATGTTGAATGATGGAATAGTAAGCTACTCATACGAAAAAAAATATGAAATAAAAAATAAAAGACCGTGTCCCATTTATCATAAATACATGTAAAGTTATAAATGGTGGGGTGACTGTAACATATTATTTTAATGTCTCCCCAACTTAAATACTCATGCTTTGCCACTGCATATACAGCTGCTGGGATTTTGATAAGATTCCCACAGCTTTAACAATATTTCGTCATCGGAAGAGTCACAAAACTCCATCACGTGTAATTTTTGTATTTCTATTTGTTTTAATATTATAATTGTTAATTATTAATATAAAATATTATACAAAAAGTTTACTTAACTATTGTTTAATTCTACTACCAATAGAAATAAATTATTATTGATAAAAATATCAGCTGATTAATCTACACCAAAACCGTTTGTTTTGAAGGCGGGTAATCTGATCACACCCCTCACACTTCACCCAGACACTACACTAATTAGTGTACACTTTTTTTTTCCTACACGAACAAACCTAATGAGTATACAAATCATAACGGGTACCTCTGAAATTTTGTAAATTGGGTAATACCCATAAAACCCGGGTATCCGGGTATCAAAAGCACTAGTCTTGGTAGCGAAGCACGACGGTGTTACGCAGAAATTAGAATGACGTTGAAAAGAAGTAAAATATGACCACGCCGACAGTTGTGTACAGTGGCGTGCCGAGATAAAAATGTTTTTGATGCCAATTGCAAAGTCTAGTTTACCACCCACCCACCCATATTTAAATTCATATTATTATTATACATATATTATATACATATTATTATCCAACAACCACCCACTCCTTTTTAACTTGATGCCTGGGCATCATTTAGACCTATATTCGGCACGCCACTGGTTGTATACATAACTAACAATTCATTTAGAAAAAAAAAATTACGCTGAAGACAATATTTAGAAGCCGCAAAAACGGTTTGGCTATCGCACTAACTAGATTTTGTTGATATCCGACGCGAACAAGTACTGTATAAAGGTCGATCCACACATATCAGTGACGTGACGGGACGTGAATACCCTTCAGTAAGCTTCAGTGAAAAAAATATATATGAATACACGACCTGCACATGCACCCCTAGAATACAAACGGCATAACTCAGAAATAGTAATTAATGAGAAAATGCAATTTAAGATTTTAAGAATTTTCAAAACCGTCCGAAAACATAATTTTTTGTAATATTTTGACTTTTTTATTTTTAATTAGTTGTCATTAATCATTGTTTTCTATTTTCATAGGAGTTTAAGGAATTCTGTAATACTCAACACCACAAAAAAAAAAAATAAATAAATCAACTTTAATAATAAACAATCCAAATACAAATATTTTATAATTTTATATCACATTCTACTTTGATAGAAAAAAAATAGATGAGCGCAAATAATAGATATTTATCTCGCCATTTCAGCAGTGGTGCCAACTCAAAATCGACATTTTTAGAGCTATGCCATTAGTACTCTAGGATGCTCGGAATACTGGTACGGTCCATACCACGAACATATAACTAATACCTTTACTATTGTGAACCGTACCAGTATTCCGCGTTTATACAGACCGTACCAATTTTCCGTTTACCGTACTCTAGGGTTGTTACATTGTGGTGGACGGCGCGTGTTCAGACCATAGAGTAATATATTACCTACTCTATGGTTCAGACACGGCAAACACAGTGAAGCTCCGGCGATCACAGTGCTCGTGAGGCATCCGTGACAGAAATAAAAGTACGTCGTCAACGATATTATTTGTTTTTCACGGACGTCAAAACACAAATTTGATTAACGTAATGAATGATGAACTTTTGATTGAGTTAGTGCAGAAAAGACCGGTTCTTTATGATTTAAAGAACCCAAAATATTTAAATGCCGATTGGAAGGGCAGAGTATGGCAGGAAATTGGCGAGAAAATGAAGATTGATGGTGAGTATTTAAAATAACAGTAATCTATATATATATATATAAAATCCAAATAACACATAGTCACCAATCGCTGTAACTCAAAAACTACGCAACGTACGAAATTGAAATTCGGAATAGAGGTTCTTCTCATATTTTCACCGTGTAATAAGAAAGGATTTTTCGAAAATTGTATATTTAAGGGTCGAAATAGTTTCAGACTAGGTGTATACATTTTTTATTTTTTTGGTTACCTAGGAAATATTTGATTTAATATGTTGATTTTAATAATCACCGATTAAGAATTATGTAAATTATTAAAATGTATAATTTATACATTTTAATAATTTACAAGTTGTATACAACATTTATTCAAATTATATTGTAAGCAGTGCTTGACTTGAGGGGGGACGCACGGGGACGGCTCATATAGTAAACGGTACAGCAAGGCGTAATAGACATTGCTATATTTAATATTTACTCATTACAATACAATATTGTTTCAAACGTTATTTTGGGTGATTTATACTTAAAAAGGGTTCTACGGTAATACCTAAAAGGAGTTGAACACTCACAATTTTCTCAACGGACGACGTCAGGTATTACTCACTCATTGATCATCGCTACATCTCAAAACTATATAAACTTGCAATTTTACATGGTGGTCCTTCAATATTCAATACATGCAATGAGAAGGGATTTTATAAAATATTATAACCGGAAAATACGATAATTCAGAGTTAATTCAGCGTACCGATTCATTTGAACTTTCATTTCATTTGTTTTATAACCACTAACAGTTACACCAAACTTGGCTTTAAATAGTGTAAGGTAATAATCCATTAAAACCTATATCACGGCCAAGAATGTTCCGTACGAAGCTGATAATCAAGCTAGTAGTAATATAAAAGTAGTGATAGAAACAATATAGTAATGGAAACAATTATATTAGTATATTAGATGTGTATATTATATACACATATAGGTAGGCTTTATATAATAGCATTTTTTTGTTTCCGTCTTAAGCCGGTTTTACACGAGTCGTGTACTTTGCGAACGATACTCTGCGAGTGTAATTGATAAATTTGTACAATGTACGATGTTAGTAATTATGTTGCTCCTCCACGACTCGTGTGCTAGCCGATTATTCGTCAATTGTATATACTTTGCTTGTCATCGCCAGTGCTCCTACATAATTCGTAATCGCCAAATATATTTTGTTCGAAATAATGAAATACGAAATTTGCCTCGGATCAAAATGGATATTGATGACAAAAAGATGGCTTGTGCCACATTTGCGGTAGTGTGTGCTGTTTAATTTTATATTAAGAGGACGCCACACCAAAAGTAAAACGTATAGAACGCCTATTAGGTGTTTTCAATAAGCGCAAGCACGCGAGCGAGTACGTCGACAAGCCCATCATTCGTAGCCGTCGACCGCGCGCCGGTCTGACGAGCGCTAGTTCGGGAGTTCAAATTATTATTCCATGAACCTTCATCAAGTACTGTGAACCATAAAATGCATATACGTGCATAGAACATCATACCCTGCTGCAATATTTTTAATATTCATGGCCTGCGCATACCTAGCTAAAATGTATAGTTACTGCTAGCCTAACTATCTTCACCAACATGTAGATTATAAAATCATTATTATAATATATTTTAAACCATGCTTAACACATTTTTACTTTTTGAGTTATAAATAAAGACATTCCGAATAAAAAAAAAAATAACTATTATCTGATGATTTAATTCTTACAGAACATAGCACATTTTTACATAAATTTATAAGAATATTTCACTTACGGTTTTCACAAACTCCTTACATAATTATATACTAAAGATGACCAAAAAAAAATCCAAAAGAAGATATCTTTTATCTTAAAATATAAGTCGAGATAGACTATAAATAGAAGTACGATTGATGAATATTCGCCGATTACACGATTCGTATGAGATCGGCTTTAGTACAATCTAACAAATTATATTATCGTTCACTATGTATACTTGTAAGTATATCATTAGTGGTTTCAAGCACTTTAAAATAGTTATCATCATCTATTAATAGCCAATTCTGTATCATTTAAACTAATAATATTTTCGTAATTATATACCAAGTATTTGTATTTAAATACAATTTTAAAAGTATTTTTTAAATGACTGACATAATGAATGATATAAACACAATTAAAATTAAATATTTTTTTATTTGTAACCAACATTTGCCAACATTGCAGTCATATATTATTATACCCATGCCAGTTTAGTACATGTGATTGCCATGGAATTGATCCAGCTATAGAAGAAAAATAATTTTCGAATGCATTTCTAAGTTGAAAAGATTCTCTGGTAGCATTCCCACCTTGATAGGACAGGTTCCTTATTGCTAAATATACTTGAATTTTGTCGTTATCAGTAGTATCTCTTCTGATGATAGGTGCAGCCTCATATTTTCATATGAAATTGTACAAGACACAGCTGGTCAATATTATGTTGTCTACATTATGTGGTAATGATTTTATCCGTCTGTTGTACAATCTGAAATGTTGACATAAGATTTCGAAACTCTTCTTGCATCACTGAACGCCTAGTTCCTGGCCAGGGTAAGGGCGCATAATATGAGTTTAATGGAAATGCCTCATAACCAACAATTATGTGATGTAATTTAGTGTTTATACCCGGAAGTGGTGAAGGTCCAGACACCGACAAATTGCCCAATTCAAATGCTTTACCAATGTTAGAATGTACCCAAATACCTCCATCACTGTTTCGACCATTTGCAGCTGTATCTACTGAAATGAAGTTGAAATTTGCATTAAATATACCAAGCAACACAAATGAAAAAAAAAAATTCTTGTAATTGAAAAATTGATAACCACTATTTGATGGAGCCTGTATGCAGCAATGCTTTCCACCAACAGCTGCTGTAAAATTTGGGAAACTCCAAGTAAATCTAAACTATTGTGCGTATCTTTTTCTAATGGTTCAGGCATCACTTTATTCATTAAAGCTTTAAGAATAACTCTATATATTTCGACTACTATTGACTATACAATGGAGTGCCCAATCCGGTTAGGTAGCTGAGTGATATTGTTTTGAATAAATCGCCGGTAGCCAAATATCTGAAAAATTTCATATAATTTTATGTTTTTTGTTTACACAGGTGGTAATTGCAAAACAAGGTGGAATAACATACGAAACAACTTCAGAAAATCTTTGAGTAAAAGAAGAACCACAAGTGGACAATCTTCTAAAAAAATGAAACAGTACAGATTTGAAAGCCAGCTACAGTTTTTGCTGAAATACATGGAAGAATGTAAAACAGAGGGGAACATTGGATGTCCTGACACTGAATATGCAGAAATTGATAATGACGATGAAGCAAAAGAATCTCAAACAACCGATACATCTAATTCTCCAGAAATAGACGATATACTTTCTTCCTCTGCTGTTGTGTTTACTAAGCCTGTTAGAAAAAAGAACACCCAACCTGAGGCAGCAGCTTCTACACTCATGAAGTATATACTTAAAGAAGAGAAAAAATCGAGCACAAGTGGACAACCTACTGTAACTTTGGACAATCCCATTGACTGTTTCCTGTTTGGGATATCGCCAACTTTAAAATTGCTACCTCCATACTTGCAAAATTTAGCAAAGACCGAAATTTTTTCTACAGTGCAAAAATTTGAATTACATACGATGCAAATGTCCTAACCTAAGGATTCAAACCAATTGGAAACCATTGATGACACTTCCTCTTCTCAAAAAAACAAAAGCAAAAACATATTAGGAAAATTTCATATCTTGATTAAATATAAAGTATATTATTATAATAATAAATATAATATAAATTTAAATTTTTCTGAAAAAGTATAAATCAGAAATACTTACCTCAAACAAACCAGTCTTTTTCTTGCAGAAATAGCCCGTCTCCAATACGTATTTTTTTTAGTGATATACTTCTTCACTCTCAAATCACAAAATGCATTTTGGCTCAGTCTAAAATATTCATAAAATTTGCATTCGTGATCCACCAATCCTCTATATAATGTTGAAAATTCTTCTGTGTCTTGAATCATCCATATGGGATGAACCCAATGTTTTATTTTTTCCTTCTTTTCTTCCTCATCCAAAAGCTATGCTATTACAGCAAGATTTTTTTTACTGAAATCCATAGTACACTTTTATTTCTGAATAACAATAAAAAACAAAACATACGAGGCAAGCCTTCTAAATACTACTGACACGAAAAAGTACGGTATTGTGAGGATGTTAGTGAAATATTAATTTTTATTGACTGTATATTTCTGACGATGAATTTTTAATTTAAAACCGATCATACAATACAAATACAATAATAATTCAGACTAAGAATTTATTCATTTCTGTATAATAAACTATTTGCTTATTTATTTATATATTAATTCAAATTAAATAATTTTTTAACTTACATTTCTTCTTCTGCTTCTTCTTCGTCTGGCATCTCAACTCTCTAAGAATTTTTGCCATTATTGCTACACTTCGCAACTTATCTGTCTTGAACTACCTTTCTCCTATCCTCAACTCCAAGGCTTTTTAGATCTTCCACCACATCAATCCATCTTATTCTAGGTTTTCCTCTAGGTCTTTTTCTTCATGGTCTCCATTTCAATGCTACTCTCACTGCTTCGTTCTATCCTCTTCATTATGTGACATACCCATTGTTATCTTTGGCCCTTTATGAAGCTTGTAATTAGTGCTATTTCCAATATATCGTACAGTCTTTGTTATATCTCCTCCGCCAGTTTATCGCTGTTTCAACAATGATAGATCCACATATTTTCATCTATACTTTGTGCTCGAAAGTCCTCAAGTTTCTCTCTGTTTGGTCATCGCTCATGCTTTACAACCACACGTGAGAGTCAATTTTATAATAGCCACATACAATCTTGCTTTAATTTTTTCTAAATAATATTTAAGATATAAAGAATTTTTGGGCTTTGTTTATCCGAATACTTATTTCCTTTGACCAGTCATTATTGTGCTTAACGTTGCTCTCAAACATGTAAAATCTTTTTCATAATTTAAATCATCCAACTGATTGGGGTTCTTCTCACTCTCCATGAGTTCTGTTATCTTAGTTTCACAGTATTTAAAATTTAAAATCTATTTTCTTCGCTGCTTCTTCTAACATTCTGGCCGCATAAAATATGTCTTCAAGCGAATCGCCAAATATATTTTTCGTCAGCAAAACCGTGGAGCTGTATCTTATTCTGACCAATTACTAAAAATAAAAAGGAATAATTAAAAATTAATATTAGCTCACCTACATTTAACATCATATATTTTCTTGTTGGTGCTAATATTAACTTAACACGTGTTAAGGACCCAAAGCACCCCCCCTAGTTGCGCTAATGCAATCCAATATCAATCGCAATCCGAAAAAATGTATAACTTTATATCATCTAATAATAAATGTTAGTCATAAGCCTTATTCCGAGCAGAGGCGGGTTTTATCACTAACCAAGGGAGGCGCTAATGGAGGTTTAAGAATTTAGTTATTTGGTTTTTTAAATCTATATAAAATTTTAAATTAGAGAATATGTTTTTGAGTCCCTCATAAGTAAGTCATTTTTTCACAATAATGATAAATTTTAATTAGTTACATTATTGGTATCAATTTTAATCTGAAACCATTTTAAAATATAGGTAAATACACATAATTAACAACAAAAGTGAACTATTTATTTATAAAAATAATATATAAAATAGGTACCATATTCATCAATGACCATTGACGATATTTTATTATAATTATTAATATATAATAATACTTTGCTTTGTAAAATAGATAGCTTAGTTCCAAAAGGGGGGGGGGGTAATGCCACCCCCTTAAACCCACCCGTGATGCCGAACGCCTATAAAAGTAACGTAACGTGTAGCGTGGCGAGTGACATCGCTTGTAACGTACATTTATCATGTTATTTTGTATCAAAATAATATGTAACCATTAGATTTAGCACCAACTAAACTGATACGCCAGTAACATGACAAATTGCATGTTACATCGGCGTCATTCAAATACAGCATGTTCCATTTTATGACACTAGCGTTTGGAAATGGTTTTAATTTTTGTCATTATATTCATTTTTAAAAGTTTATAAAAATACATTTTTTGGATGGATGGATGAATGATCCAGGTATTAATATATTGTTAGTATAATTTAGGTCAATCCACACTTAACGTTTTTATTTCATTTCCAGTATGGATAAACCCAATATGTATTTTTTTATTATTTGCATTATTATTGAATCACCTTTATTGAATTCACGAATATTAAAACACTTTCGTCATCCGATATCGAAAACATATTGACAATTGAATTGGTACTACGTATAATTATAGATTAAATATATTTTTTATATTATATATATTATTAGTATATTTAATCTATGGTATAACTAACTAGGTAGTTATAAGATATCTTTAATATATAAATATAATATTATAATATTAAAAAAATAAAAATAAAATATTGTCTTTGTTATATTTAAACTATACATATGCGTATATAGGGGGGGATAGTGGGGTACAGAACTCCCCGCCGAAATGTTATAAAAAACTTAAAAATTATTTTAAAAGTTTGTTATATTTTAAAGGTGCTTTATTCTAATTTAGAATATATGTCCAACGTCAAATTGTTTTGGGATATTCTGTAAATGATATGTTGGTAAGTACCTATAGGTATAGGTATACCTACTGTGTCTTGTTAGTAATTCTTAGATAGCAATGGTAATTTAACTCTATCCATAATAGCTCCTCCCGAAAATATTTTCTGTATACGCCACTGATACGCATATATAATAAAACTGTCGAGCCATAATGCTTATTTTGGAAAAGGCTTATTAATAGTTAAATAACAAAAAAAAATTGGTTACTATTCATCATTTTGCCGCGTTTTTGTGTTTATCATTTATTATATTAATTTGTTAACAGTTGATTATATTATGATACGATATTACTGATAATATATCAAAAATGATGAAATATAAGATTTATGTTTTGATTGTATTTTTATAATTTAATAATTAATTTTGTAATTTACATTTAAAATTATTTTTATAAGCGATTATATTAATTTTATGCTGAAGGATGAAATAAATTCTATAATATAAGACCTATTTTAAGTCCAATGTTACAGTTATAATATTTCAAAAGTATTTATAACCTTCATTCAACTGTTTCGTACAATTTTTTTGTTTTTCATTATTCAAGTCAAAATATATTGTTATAATTTAATATTTTATTTAAATTTTATTTTCTGTTTTAATAATAATTATTTTCCGGCTGTTATGCAAAATGTCGATGTTTTCTAGAACCTAAAATTCAAAACAATCCTCAAAGAATATTTTATAGTGCTGAGTTTAATTTTAAAATAAATGCTCTGAATATAGTAAGTTAATTATCTAAACTGTAACTTATTTAAGAATACAGTGTAGTATATACATTTATATATATACATATATTCAATTTAATTTGAATTAATTAAATTCTAGATCGATATATAATGGCTACAAGGTGGAGTAGTGACTACAATATCATTGAGATTAGAGATTTTGATGCTAATAAAATGGCAGTAGATTACACCGGTTCCATAGTATTGTTAGCTGGCCTTAAACAATATGGTATTGTTGATATTCATAAATCTCCAAATATTCTATATCCTAGAATATGTAAGTATGAAATTAATGGGATTGAATGGAATCCAACTTATCATAATCAACACATATGTGCATTAGCTTACAATACCCAATTGCTACTACTTAATTTGAAAAACAATGTTAATTTTGATTCTTCAACAAAATTAAGGTGTCATACACGAGCTATATTAGATATAAATTGGCACTCTACTGATCCAAATATTTTGGCTTCAACGTCTTTGGATTCATTTGTTCATATTTGGGATATTAGAGCAACTGCTAGACCAGCTTTATCACTTTCAACTATTCTTCCAGCATCAAGAGTGCGGTGGAATCATTTAACTAAAAATTTAATAGCTACTGCTCATTGCGGAGATGTGAAAATATGGGACCAAAGAAAAATATCTCATCCTCTTCATTATATAACAGCTCATCAGAATAATATACGTTGTTTAGATTGGAGTTATACTAATGAAAATCAATTTGTTACTTGCAGTCAAGATTGTACTGTGAAGTTTTTTGAAATAAACAATCTTAAAAAGACTGAAAATATTTTAAATACTGTTACACCTGTTTGGAGAGCTAAGTATACGCCATTTGGTGATGGTATATTAATAGTTTTGGTCCCTCTAGAAAAAAGGGTGGATAATAACTTATTATTATGGAATTTAAGTGCAACCAACACTCCTATACATACATTTGTTGGTCATTCAGATACGATATTAGAGTTTCAATGGCTGAAAAATAATGAGGATAAAACTTCTGAACATGAATTGATAACATGGTCAAAAGATCAAACTATGAGATTATGGCATGTTGTTCCATTTCTTCAAGAAATGCCTATGGAATTTAATGAAAGACCATGTACTGATGATTTAGATAACTATTATATTACTCAACACTCTGAAATAAGTAATGTGGCTAACGATGCACCCAATGATACCGATATGAGTTTTGAAAATGAGACCCAAGATTGTAATTTAAGTATATCTTCATGTAATGATTCTTATAATAGTGAAGATAGTGAAGAACAACCTACTTTAAATTTACATCAAGAATTTCTTTCATTAAATGTTGGTTCAGAAGTTTTCATAGAACAAAAAGATCCAGATCGACGTATATTAATAGCGTTAGTAAAAATAAACAATAATTCATTATCTGTTCATATGACATTTCCATTGGGTTATCCTGAAAATGTTGAACCACAATTTCAAATAACCAAGTGTACTTATGATGCTGGTATGAAAAATAAAATTCATAAGGTATTATATGATGCAGCTGTAAAACAAGTCTCTAAGAATTTAACTTGTGTACAGTATTGTCTTCGTGAACTTGTTGTATCTCTGAGAAAAACTCGTATATCTTTTTCAGAATCTCAATTCACTGAAGATGACAAAAAAACATATTCAATATATTCTCAGTCACCATCCCATTATGAACGTACCAGTACTTACATGTCTTGCCAAGATTCTTTTAATATGTTACAACATAAGACTATGGGATTAAAGTTCTGTAATAATGGTGCATTGTTATGGTTTAATACTCCACCGAGAAGAAAAACAGATTTTTTTCCATCAATATCATTACAAAAAATTGATAACGCCAATAATACTCCACTACAAAAACTTCAACCTAATTGGTTCAGCAATAAACATTCTCCAACCGATGGTAGTAATCAGAGCTTTAAAAGTAATCGAGTAGACAACCATTCAGACAAACCTATAATTTCAATTTATGATGTATCATGTTTATTCCCAATTAATAAAGATTTAGCATCAAAATATGAACTGGACATAACAAATGTTTTCAGTACTTGTTTAAAAAATGCTTGGATTACAAATGGAATTAAAAGAAAGGATTTAGTTCAAACTTGGACACTAGCAGCATATGCCTGTAATATAAACTGCAATGTAAAAAAAAAAGTTACGTCTTCCATTGACAAAATTAATGAGTGGAAAAACCATCCGTTTACAATGCATATGATTGATTCCTTAATTTCACATTATGCAGGCCATTCTGATTTTCAAACTGCTGCTTTACTATGTTGTGTATTTGATCCGAATCCTGTTTTTAAAAATATTGAACAAGACAGAACCCCTACACCTGTCCACACCCGTTCAAATAGTCTCTTCGAAGGTTTTAGCTTTTCTAGGGGACAAGAGGACTCAAATGAATGTTTTGAAGTTTGTGATCAAGGTTTATTGTTGGATAATTCCAGTTCTAAAAAAGATGTTTACTATGATGAATATAAAAAAACATACATGGATGTATTAGATAATTTAGGTTTATTAGATCAGCAAGCCAGTGTTAAAAAGTTTTTAAAACATCAAACTCAAAAAAGTAGTGCATTTTATTTCAGATTTATTGTTGATTGCACAAAATGTAATGGCTCTGTAAAAGATGGATACTGCCTTCAGTGTCTACGGTTTAGTCTCAAATGTTCATTATGTAATTCTACTGTAAGAGGTGCATCTCATGTTTGTTTAAAATGTGGGCATGGTGGTCATGCTAATCATTTAATCGAATGGTTTAGTAAAGAAACTTTATGTGCTGTAAATTGTGGATGTTGTTGCCTTTTTGAAACTATGTCAATACTTCATATCAAACGATATGATTCTAAAGAAGATTGAAAATAATGTTTTATATTTAAAAATTAAATTTATCTGTTTAAACCTTTTTATGACAGTGACCATTTAAGTTCCTTTTTAATCTTATAAAGAAGATAGAACCAAAAATGCCTCTTAATTTTTTTTGTTTTAATTTTGTAATTTTATAAAAAAATTAATGTGGTTATGTTTCTATACTTAAAATAAAAGTAGAACATTTTGTTTTTATAAATGTTGAAATAAAATAAATATATATTTATTTTTAATATATATATATATATCTATTTTTTTGTTAAGTACCTACAGATGTTGATAATAATTTATATTTTATGTTCTATAAAAATTTTCCAATTTCATTTATAGTTTATTGGTATTTTTACTTATTGATTGGTGGACCATTTAATTTTAGATTCACATTGTATTTGTATTACCATGATATGCTTTTTTTGTGTCATTGTACTCAATGGTGCAGAGGAATTGCTCAGAACATCACCAACTAAAGAATAAAAGATAAGAAGATGGGAAATGGATTGTAGTTATTATTTTTGGGAGTGTCATACTACTAATTTCCCAGTAGTTTTCTAAACAACTGCAAAAAATTAACAAAAAGTTGCAAAAAAAAAAATGGTAAAATATAGGATATACCTACCTAATAGTTTTAGACAATATTGATTTTTTTTTTTTCATTGTAACCTTATAAATAATATTCCTAGAGACTTGAAGTTTTCAATGAATGTTTATATTACCGTTTGCTATTGATGGTATGATTCCAAAAGATTTTTTTTGAAAAAATAATTTACATACATGAAAATGTATGTTTTATTAGCTTTTTTTTTGAAAATATCTATAAAATAATTTCGGTTTAACTAAAAGTCTTGAAAATTTAAAATTAAGTTCCTCATATATATTTATTACTGATTAAAGAAAAAATAAATTGAGTTTAATTTCAAAAAAAGTCTTTGAAATGGGGTTTTATAGGCGTATGTTAAAAATTGCATGGAAAAATCGAGTTATTAACCAAAGGGTACTGGAAAGAATGGGCAAAGAGAAGGAACTATTAATTAGAATAAAAGCTCGGAAGCTTGAATACATTGGACACATTATCAATAATCAACGATACAATATAATCCAGCTTATATTACAAGGAAGTATAGAAGTAAAAAGCAGTGTCGGAAGAAGAGGAAGAAGACCAAGAATATTTTGGATGAAGAATTTCCGTGACTGGCACCAATGGGGTATTTACGGGGGTGTCCAGGGGTACTGGACCCCCCAGAACCTCCAAAAAATAAAAAATGAACAACAATTCTTACATATTTGCAGAATTGGGTATGTTAAACATTCACAGGGAAGTTAAAATTACTGTTGATGAAGTGATAGAAGAGTTGGCCAAAGAATCGAGACAACTGGAATTTATTTTATAACATTACTTTATTATATATAATGCTAAATACAATATATAGGTACATATATATAATATTACATAAGACTATACGATTATTACATTATATATTTAGTTCGACTTCCTCCAAAAACTGCATAAGGACGTAACTATTATAATATAATATAGTTTATATTAATTATGTATAAACTGTGGACCCCCCCCAGAAAAAATTGAAAATACGCCACTAACTGGTACAATGCAACATCAATAGATTTATTTCGGGTATCACTTGATAGGAATTACATTGCCAATATCATATATAACATCCGGAACGTATAGGAACTCATAGAAGGAAAAGATATAAAAATATAATACATTTACAAATTTAAAATTATCAAACATTTGTTGGTTGGTGAATATTGTGTTTGGATCACGTTAAAGTATATTTCCATATAAAAATTATTTTTAGAATAATTTTAGGAATATTTTTATTGAAGGTCTTATTATCGACAGACGATACTTAAACTATTATTTATTTGTCAAACATTGGGAAATAAATTACATAACGTAGTTGGTAATTAGAACCTAACCATAAAAAAATATATGTGATATAAAATGTTATAAAAAAAATTTAATTATAAATTTGCCAAAAACAAATCATTATGTGGATAAAGTAAAAAAAAACATTGTAATGAGTTTAAATATAATAATGATATGATATGGTATATAAATTTGATATATTTAATATTTTTTAAAAAAAGAATATGTGTTCTAATCTAAATAATTATGTACATTTATTCGTGTTGTTAGTAATTTGAATTCAAATTAAACAAAGCGATTTGAAATACTGGGGACTAAACGTCCTATGGATAAATAACACCAAATATTCTATCTTAATAATTAACAGGAGCGAAACGTCTTTTTACCGTTCGACTGACTCGAACTGATCCTAGAGGGGAAGCAAATAAGCAAAAATAGGGATTATGTGGCTCATGAAATAGTTATTTAAAATAGAAAATAATAAAAATATAATATTATATATAAAACTATAAATTAAATCAGAATCGACTATTTTAAATGAACTATGGGAGTTGAATCAGTGACTCAGTTCAACCAACTTGTCAAATTCAATTCACGAAACAGTAATCATAAACTGATACACGACTCTCGACAACATGTCGGCTCTCAAGTGTAGTTGATAGACACAGATCTAAGTACCTATATTGAATATACCAAATACTATCTACGTACTGTCATATAATATGGTACTATAAATCCGGGTTCACACTACACGGTGACGTGTATTTTACCAGACTGTGTGCTTTGAAAATGTGTGATACCAATATATATCTTATGGTGATGCTATCAAATTTTGATTACGTATTTTCGCAGTTATTTATTAGATATGAAATATCTTCATAAGTTTCAATAAATAATAACTGATGAATATTAAATTATATTGTAGACAGTATAAATTAAAATAATTTTAAGAACTCGGAACTTAATGCACTTAAAATGTACTAAATATGCATGCACTTATGCGCTTAAAAAAGTACAAATATGCTTAAAAAATATGCACTTAATTTTTTTTAACACAAAAATGTTTATAAATAAAGATTTTTTTTAAATAAAAAAAATTAATATTTACTCGTAAATAACAGTACAAATGTTAATATATTATATTAAGCTAAACATAATTTCTAGATATAAATATATAAGATAAAATAAAATAAATAGTTTGAAATTTAAAATTTTCTTTTAAAATGTTTCCATTAGGTTTTTCATAGTGTCATGAAAATAATTTCAAGGTTACTTTGCTAATAAATTGAATAGCCCAATAAAATCATGCAAATGCAACACCTTCCGAGCCCTTTGTTACTATGAATAATGTTATCATAGAATATTAAATTATTACTATTAAAATCTGTAACTACACGTTCAAAAGTTGGATAAAATCAACTTGACGGTATATTATGGTTAGTGAGGTAACTTGTAATTTATTATACGGTATACTTTGATGCAGTGGCGTTCTCAGGAACTTTCAATGGGGGGGGGGCTCTGAAAATTTACTAGAATACAAAAATGGGGGGGCTCTGCCCCCCCCTTGGTCATACAAATTTTGTACTGTTTTAAAAAACCACATTATCACAAATTGTCACCAAATTGTTAAATTGATAGCGCGGTCGTGTCATAGAACATGTTCTATGGTCGTGCTCCAATCCAACTTGATAACCGTGATACTGGTAACTAATGACGTATAAACTACTAAATTATAATCAATAAAATCAATAATCAATTATTATTAAACTATTGGAATAATTTAAAAATAATATAATATAATAATTAAAAAATACCGTCAATGGGGGGGGGGGGTTCAAACCCCATGAACCCCTCCCGTGGATACACCACTGCCTTGATGTAACAATATGGTTCAGCCAATCAGAAATAATTATTTTAGAAGACACGACGTGACACGGTGTGGTGTGAACCCGGCTTAATGCCGTCGTTAGTCTCGCTATGGTAGAAATGACCGCAATTTTCTTACACCGTTAATAGAGCATTTACATTTATACTTCAATTATTGATACTCATATAACACGAGTCAATAATATACAATCGATAACATTTTTAAAAGGTTAATACTGTCTGTCGATGATTGAAATATAAAACGTAAATGTTTTATTTAATACCCAAAAAAAAAGTGCGGTCATTTCGAATATAGCGCGACTAATGCCGGGTTTAACCATAGGCGTATAATATATATTATATTCCGTGTGTTCCGAAAATCATCAACTAATCTAGCGGTTTCTCCAGTGGATTGATTGGAGTTTGGAGACACTTTTTTTGGAGCATTGCGTTGTAACAAGTTAGTTAATACGTTCAACCGCCATCAACCGCTATGGTGTTAACAAATTATCAATTATATCCAAGCAAGGTTGTCGATTGTTATGAATTAACTAATAAAATACAAAATATAATCGAATAAAATATTAATTGAAAATTGTAAATTAGGTCTTCAAAACATATCTCATCTCATTGCATATTTTTTTAAATCATCTTTAAGAAATGAATACATGTTTAAATAAGAAAACAATGTTCTTGTTAAATCCAACTTAATACTAAAGCCCGTATTACTAACTTCATGTTAGTTACGAGTTTGTACAATGACTTAGACTTAAGTCATTTTAGACTTAACAGGAATTCAGTCGAGGTAAACATTTTTAATATTAAAATAATAATTCTTTTTTTGTTATTATTTTCTTTATTATTTAAATATATTTATATTTCTTTATTATTAATTTTTCTTTTCCTTATTAACTCCCATATTTTCACTTTCCATTATAATCACAGAATATAATAATGTTATAACACAGTCGACTGTCAAGTGCTTCAGTGCTCGTCACTAGATAGCAAAAAAATGTGAAATACTGAAATGTCTTGCAAATCACATAAATGATATATAATTAGAATTTGGCGCGTAGTTTTTATCAAATCCATTTGGATCTTCGTTTGTCCAACCGGATAATTACGTATTCCTGATAAAACAATTCGCTTAGTTACCTCCCCTCCACCGGATTGAAGAAACGCTGAATTTAGGAACACTCAATTCTAACGGCTGACCAATCTGCTGAGTTTCGAAACAGACGGATTATAGTTTACGACTATACACAATACATCAAACACAGCATGGATCACAGTAGTCGTTATTATCATTGAAATTAATTTTATCCGAATTGTTATCACACAGTTCGTTTCATACACTGCTAAATATCAAATTATTTTTTATGTTTTTATTTATTTTTAGTTTTTTTATGCATCAGTGGCTGTACTTTTATATAATAATTTAGACGTTTATATTATCTGTAGCCGTGTCACGGATCAAGGTGGATAGAACATCTTTTCACTCAAACATGTCTGCGAAATTGCAACTATAATCTGTTTTATCATTTTTAATGTTATCAAGGGCCAAGTCCATGATTAAGAGTAGACAGATGAAAATTTTAATCGATGATAATGAAATTGTTAAAAAAATAAAGAATTAAAAATTATGCTTTTGAGTTACATCTAATTTTTTTGCTTTTGTAATTGAATTTTATATATAATTTATAAAGTATGTTTAAAAACATTGGTCGAAGTAACGTACTATTCGTATGCAAACGCTCATTTGTCAGGTAATACATTATAATAGATTTTGGTATTGTGAACTATTTTTAATTTTCATTTGTACATTAAAATTTGGAAACTTTAACTATTAGATTGATAGAAGTGGGTCAATTGAATCTACCAAAGTCCATAGAGAAGTATGAAACCGGTCAGTTGTTTTTTCACCGGATATTTGGATACAGAGGAGTAATATTATTTCCATGGTTAGCTAGAGTATATGACCGAGATATTATCAATAAAACAGAAAAGTAAGAATTGTAATAAATAAATATTATATGATTTGATAAAAAACTTTTTCTTGTACCAAATTTATTTACCTATAGTTACAGGTAAAAACATTTTACAACTTGTTAAAATTATTTTAACCAAAGTTAGTAACTTTTTTTTAAATTATTTTAGTGCTGTAGGTAAGGATGTCAAAGGGAAAACACATACATTTTATCAAACTTTGATTGATGAAAGAGACTGTCCGTTCATTGTAATTATATTTAAAATGCTTTAATCGAAATTCAAATAAATGATAACTTATTTTGCCCCATATTACAGAGAGCACAAACAGAAGCAGTTACTTTTTTAGGTAATCAAGATACTAGCCGTAGTTTATACGCAATACCTGGTCTAGATTATGTGGCCCAAGAAGACATACTTCCATATACTGCGACTGAAAAACAACCTTTACAGCATGAGCTTTTTGATAAATTTCTAATGTATTATCCAAATAAGGGTAAATTAATAAATTAATACTTATTTGAATTGTATTAATTTTTAGTGCTGTCATGGAATATTTGTCCTAAGAATATTAAGTTATTTTAAGTATTAAACATTAAATTATTCTTTCAGTTAATATTCTAATATGTATTAATTTATGAGTATTAACTATTTAATAATTTTTAATTTTAATTAATTTTTTTTATTATTTTAATATATATGTAAACTTTTATGATTACTTATTATTTCATTATCTAATTTCATTGTAGATCCACCTTTTGGTGCACAAGAAACATTGAGATCATGGCAAAAAAAAAAATCACCCCTGGTTAGAATTGTCAGATGTTCATAAAGAAACTACTGAAAACATTAGGGTTACAGTAATACCATTTTATATGGGATATAGAGAATCACAAACAAATTCTGTCTATTGGGTAAATTATACCTATTTTTACAAAACTTGTTTATTAAAATTATTTGTTTATTATATTTTTTTCTTAGTGGAGATATTGTATACGATTAGAAAATTTGGGCGAACAAAGTGTTCAACTGAGAGAACGTCATTGGAGAATATTTAGTTTATCTGGAACCTTAGAAACTGTTCGTGGAAGAGGAGTGGTAGGTCAAGAACCTGTACTTTCAAAAAAATCACCAGCTTTTCAGTACAGCAGTCATGTGAGCTTACAAGCTCCTAGTGGACATATGTGGTTAGTTTTTAAAATTATTTATACTATATTCTTATTTTTTTTAAAAAAAAAATATACAATTGTTATAGTATTAATTCAAACATAAGCTATAAAATTAAAAAATCATTACTGTTCTTGCTATAAAGTATAACTTAATATATTACTTAGTTTTCATGGACTAACATTTTTTTTTTAGTATAGTAATCTTTTTATTTGTCATTTGGTGGAGCCATATTACTGAGAGTCCAAAATAATCTAAATGAGTTAAAAAATGTCTGTAGAATAGTATATGGATGAGTTAATTTTTTTAAATCAATTATTTGATTATCAAAATTAATTTCAATCTCAATACTACATAGTTAACCAAATTTTTTTTCAAAATCCTTAACATTATTATGTTTTCTTACCACTGATATTGTTTTGCATTAATAATAATCATTTATAGTCAAATTAGCAAGACCTATTAAAATCATTTAATACATATCTTGCTATGTGAGGCCATCTCCAGAGGAGGCAAGGGGACCATTCTGTCCCAAGCCCCAGTTTAGGAAAATTTAAAAGTGGACCCTTAATGTCCAGATTAGAAAGAATTCTGCCTTACTCATTTGATATTATTAATATTAATATATTATTTTTAAACAAATTTTCTTTATGAAGTATTAAACTAAATTAGATTAAATTAACTTAAATTTATATTTAAGCGCCATTATACGGGCTACTATTTCAATTATTTTAATTTCTAAATATTTATAACTTTATTATGCTTATTGTTGGAGTGTAAAGAATGACATAATTTTATCCAAATGTATGTAAAATTTTGCTATTGCAATTATTGACGCAACAACTATTAATTACCATTAACAACAGACCTGTTGCTATTATATCTTAATATTTTTCTTGGATCATTGTTGTTTTAATTCTAAAAATGTAAGGATAAAATCTTTGAAATAAGAAACTTACTGTGTGTACTATAATATATTTTAGTAAAACTAGAAGTGTAATTTATTCTGTTACTTATAGGGGAACATTTCGAATGGAACGTGAAGATGGACATTTATTCGATTGTCGTATACCACCATTTTCTTTAGAGAGCAAGCCAGATGATAAGGTTACATTTAATACTGTATAAAAACAATATTTAATGATTATAGATTATTTATTTATTAAAATTAGTTTTGTTTAAAAATCCTCAATATCAGTTTCTAGACCGTTAAATGTTGGGTGATCCATTCCTAAGCAACTGGTGACTGACTCATCTTCACCATGTGGACAATCGTCCTGGAGATCGCATACCCATTGTCGAGGTATACAACTACGTGCATTATATGTATTATAGTTATTCAAACACTAAAAAAAATAAATTTATAATTTGTAAATATTATTTGTTGGCAAATATATTTTTTCATTACTCTGAATTCTGTAAACTGATCACAGTGTGAACTCCAGTTGTCGCATATACGTTCATCAGATCCATCTGAACAATCTTTAATACCATCACATACTGCACGGAGAGATACACACCCTGTTCCTTTCCAACATTTAAAATTATTTTTATTTAAACATGTTTGGTCTTCTCGAGTATTGTAGTCGCCAATAGAAGGTCTTAGTCCACCATATGTTCGATCACAATTGAACTCATTCTCATCCCACCTGTTGTGTATAATTGATATCAATGATCAGTACAAATTTTTTTATAAAATTGTTATTATTTTCTTTACTTACTCATCGTCACAGTCTACTCGTCCATCACATAACCAAGAATTTGGTAAACAAACTGACATTCTCCGCGATCGACATCGAAATTCATACTTTTTACATGTACCACGATTATAATACCAGTTATCATTATTGTTATATAAATTGCTAGTACCTTCAGTATTTTCCCCATTATTTGTACCTGAATTGTAACAGTTGTATTCATCATCCCCTTCTATAATATTAAAAAAAAAAATATATATTTATATATATAGTTTCCATGTTAATATACTATAATGATTTATATGGAACAATTCTTTTGATTTCTTTACCAAGGCAATCTTTTTGGTTATCACATAACCAGCCTAGAGGTATACAAACTTCAGAATTTCGACATGGATATCCATTGTAAACCATTCCATCTGTATAGCATTTTACTGTATTTTTGAGTATATCTAGAAAAAAAACAAAATTATTAAAATATTTTGATAAATAAACAATCAGTTCTATAGAACGTTCACATTTAATATTCATAATTGTATAAACTGAGGTAAAATTAAACTTTTTTTTAAATTAACTCTAGAATGTGGCATTTTTGTTATAAGAGTTTTAACTACTTCAGGCCACATATCATTGCAACTTAGTAAAATAATATACATATTTTAATATCTTAATATAAAGAATGCACTTTCGATTCTCACAATATAATAATATTATGTAATTTTTAATTTTTGTTAATATTGTATTGGTTTTAGTCTAGCCTAGTTGCCTAGAATTTTTTTCTATAACTGAAAAATCATCCATCAGTTTTATTTTGTTAAACATCCATTGGTTGTATATTTAATGTTTTATAATATATATTATATATTATAATATATATTTATAATATATATTATATATTATATATTAATAATATTAATATATAAATATATTAATGCTATTTTACTTAACTTGGTTAATCTATTAAATATGTCTTAAATAAATATATATATATATTTTTATATTTGTACATAAGGTAAAACGGTATAGTAATATTATAATTAATAGCTAATACATTTGTTATTAAGTCATTTTCATTCTTTTTATATCAATTATTAATTATATTACAAATTATATTAGTATTATAAATGTATTTACTGGAGGAATTTGAAATACTATTCGCTTAAAACTAAACCATATATTTGGTGAGATTATATTTCTAAAATTTAATTTCATCAGATCAAAAAATAATTTTTAAATACTGTTGTAGACTCTATTTTTTTTTATTTATTTTTTTTTTTTATTTAAAAATAAAGGGACATAATTTATTATATTTATCGAAATGTTTTTTTTTTTTTTTTTTTTTTTTTTTTGATAAGTTTTCATATCTTTTAATTAACTGTGAAACAAAGACTATTGTCTACTGAAAAAATGCTTTAGTCATGTTTTCTCGAATATTTTCAATGCACATAATAAAGTTCATTAACAACTAATAATACGATTTTGTGATTTAACGATTATTATCAACTGCTTCAATTATATGTGTTTTCTACACAATCAGTTTTCTATTATGCCTTATTTATGCTTTTAATATATATTTTTGTTTGATTTTAAAACTATTGTAATGATTTTACATACGTAAATACCAACACCATTGTGGCATGGTACTGTAGCGTCGACTTGTATTTTATTTAGTGGGGCAAAGTATAAACATTTGTTAATACCACCACCTAAAAAGTTAGAACAAAATACTGACAGGTTACATAATTGAATGATTATATTGTAAAATTAACCATGATAAAGTCGCTCGCAATTTATCATTCCAATTTTATCTATTATAGATAAGTAATATTCAGCAGTGGCGTATCCAGGGGGTATGGGGTTATAACCGACATCCCGCACTATAAGGTCTATTTTAGAATAAAATTGTATTTATTGTTAAATGTGCCGCTTAAAATAGCACATAATAATAATAATATAAATTATGATCGAGTAAAATGCCTCATATTTTATCATAAAGCAATAATCATGTAGACTGAAAATGATAATTATAAATTAGGTATTAATTATTACCTATTTACCTTACTTATTGCTTATCTACTTAATATTGGTTTTAGAAAAAAAAACACTTAATATCAATTTGAAACGTATATAAATATAGTTTTAATTATTTAAATATTAAATACGTAATTAAAATTAAAGAAATGTAAAACAAAAAACAGTTTATTTCATTTTTAAACTACTGTCATCAAAAAAAAGATGTTTTAAAAATGATTCACTGGGCTATTGGTAATTTAAGTAACTATCTTAAGATGTTTAAAATATGTATCTGCATGCTGTATAATCACTTTTAAACACTGACTATCGAGAGGCGTTTAGTTTCATCATGTGTGCGAAATAGATATAAATGTCAATGTACGTCTTTATACTTGATATGGTATAAAGACATGCATTAATAGACGAATTGCTCTATTGCATTATAGCATCCTACCATCTATAGATCGACCGTCACTTAATTTGTACATTCCTAAGATTTAGTAACTAGAGTGTGAATGTATCCACCCAACCTACCACACAGACAACCACCACCATTGTTAAATGAATGGGCAAACTGCCCCATAAAAGTACGTGTTCGGTGCCCCTGGCATAGTCCATAAATGACACATCTCAAAGACAAAAAAATTATTCGTTATTAATTATATCAAAAATTTATTTTAGCGTTATAAATTAATTTATTATTAAGACAATAATGTTAATAGCAGGGGCGAACGCAGGAAAATTTCGGCGGGAAGAGAGGGGTTGAAGAAATTTAAAATGTAAAATGTCAATAAATAGCATTATATAATATAAATAATTTAAATAATTTATACATTTTATTTGTAAGCCAGGCCATCATACATAATTATCGATACCGATTAAACTTCATCAGATATTTTTTGTTTTGTTGTTTTATATTTAAAAATTATTATTAAACTATTACGAAATAATAAAAATTAAAATTAATAATATTAATAATTCAATGTTTAAAAAATCAGTTAAAGGCGGAGCTGAAAAGTACCGCATAAAACGTGCTATTGAATTACTTAGTTGTGGAAATGATAAAAATCAACGAAAGCTTAACTTTTTAAAAATAAAGATAAGATGTTGGCTGTTTTTTTTATATATTATTAAATACTAATTTGATTATGTACCTTAACTTAAATTCTGAGTGTTTCTTATACTTCAGCTTTACTTAGAAGTCACAATCGTTTTACTAAAGAAATAATTATGTTATAATTAGGCTTAGGGACTTATAGCTCTAAAAAATACACAAATATGCATGCAAATATGCTACTAAAATCATTATAATATGCATTTATATGCATTAAAAAAAAAAAAAATTACCACGTAGTTCACAAAATAAAACGTGTCCATCGGATGTATGCAGTGGCGTAGCCAGGATTTTTAAATGGGGGGGAGGCTAACCACTTTTTTTGGATAAGTAAGGTAAGAGAGGATATGAGAATTCACCCTTAACCCCCCACCATCTACCACCAAGTTTCTAAATGCAATTCAAGCATTTTAGTATAGTTTTAAAAATATTTATTAATTTATAATTTATAATAATAATAATAATTTTAGTTTCAGTGTTCAGTCACTTGCTCCACTCTGACAGCTGCATTCTCTTAGGCGAATTTCTGGCAAATTCAGTTATTTTTTCACTTTCATGGAATTGCTCTTTTTTATTTATATTAGCCATAGCTAACCCATTCAGTCTGTTTTCCGACATGGTGCTTCTTAAAAAAATTTTTAAGCGATTAAGTGCTGAAAACGTTCTTTCCGGAGTGAAAGAGGTAACTAGTAACGTGGCGAATAATTGTAAAAGTATTTTAATGTTAGGTCGAAGATTGGTGCGATGAGAGGGTGAATCAAGAGCAGAATTCGGTTTTGAAATAGTATTTTGACTCCATTGTTGCCTCCATATGAACAGGTCAGCCCTGATTGTAAATGAGGTATCATCATGGAGATCTTGGACATATATTTTAGCAGCTTTTATAATATTTTTATCGTCATACATATTTAAATTGGCCGGAATAAGTCCTTCAAGTGGCATAACATCAATAAGCCTTTGATTAAAACGAGCATCCATTGATTCTATTAAATAGTCAAGATACATTATACATATAAACACGGCCCATGGGGGAGGCTATAGCCCCCTTAGCCCCTCCCCCTTGGCTACGCCACTGGATGTATGTATGTAAATGTATGTTTAAACTCCAAAACAAAACTTTTTAGTCGGCTACTCGTAGACTGTTGTACTTTCGGCATTACACAATGTTACATAATATATACGTACGAGGTTTTAAGTATGATTCGACGTTGTGTGTTTACGAGACGCAAAAACAATCACGGATAATAATCGACTGAACTGAACACTAAACAAATAATCTATTCTATATCGACTATTATCTTTATCGATCTCTGGTTGATATCCAGCGGGTTATACGGTCGATATTGGTTTATAGTATTATTTATACTTACATAAAAATTATAACGAGATATGAGAGATAGTTTGCAAATAACCTATTACTGGAAGTACCTCTTAGTACATTTTTTTTTCGATCAGTTGAAATATGTATATATGTTATTTGTATCTATAGTTTTTAAATTTAAATAATAAAATTTGAAAAATTTGTCAAAATATGCAAAATAGGCATAACAATTTTAAAATATGCACTTTCTTGCAAAGTCTATCAAATATGCAAAAATATGCACATTCAAATTTTAGATCTGATATCATGACACTGAGAAACGAATTTATTTCGCATTCTGCTATATTTAAAAATAATTTAAAAAAGTATGTAAATGCTAGAAGTCCCTAAGCCTAATTATACATCTATCCCTCTTCACACAATATACCCAAAAGGTGCCTCTGCCTGGTAAAGGAAGCTGAATGTTTTTTTTTGAGATAATTTACTAAACTATGCCTTGGTACAGGTACAGGTTTATACAATAAGCAACTTTCAATTTATGTTGTATCATTTTATTCGTACACTTTAGGTACACTTGTTCCAGAAAAAAAATATTTTACTATCAAAAGTGCAAGTATAAAACTTATTTATATTTTTAACACAACATTTTCTTTAGAACCATTCAAACAGTAATATAAATGAAATAGTTAAAGAACCATTGATTTATATGTAGTTGAACATTTCAATAATGATCAAGAAATGAGTTTACCTATATTTTTACATAATTCAATTATAGATAATTTAATTAAAATTAGTTACATAGGTGCATACCTATATACTTTACATATTATTATTAAATAATTTTAATTGTTAAATGTACCTATATAATACCTATTTATTTATATACTGAAAAAATTGTTTAGGAAAATATTTGTGATAATATTTGAAACGCAATCCCACTTGTTGAAAGTAGTGTGCTTACTAACGTTAATGAATTTAAAAGTAATGAACAACCTGTGGGTTCTTAAATCATAATAAATGTACTTATATAGTACCTATTTATTTATAAACTGAAAAAAATATTTAGGAAATTAGTTATGCCTATATTTGAAACTCAATCCCATTTGTTGAAAAAATTAAATTCTAATAATTTAGTTACCTACATTATATTTTGAAATAAATTATTGAAAAATTTTAATTTAATAATTTCTTAGTATTACATTTTTTAAACTCTAACATGGAAATTTGTTTGTCAATCCTTGCAAAACGAGCAGAAAGTAAGAAGTTTTTGAATAATGAAATTCAGACATAGTTTTGTAAAAATAACATAGTTTTAGTCTTGTGCTCGAATGTATAAAGTATATTTATGTTATTCTATTTGCACCACAGTGCAACATTGCCTCTAGAAATATCTGAATATATTCTTTTGATGAAATATAAAAAATAAGAAAAAAATTCTATAACTTAATGAATTTAATGAATTTTAGAAATTGTTAAAATAAAAACTAAATAGGTACAGAGATAAAATAAAAAAAAAAAAAAATGAAAATTTTCATCAGATGAACAGTAATTGTATAAAAAAATGTTGGGCCGGTCGTATCTTTCTCCGCCTGGACCAAATTACTCTCAGTCCGCCCCTGGCAAGCCTCATGGGAAACTTATAAGAATAATAGATATTATATATAAATATATATTTTATTTAAATAATAAAACAGCATTTTGGGGTGAAAAATTAGTTAACCTAAATATTGATTTAGTAATTTGAAACAAATTAATGCGTTATGGCGTTATTACTGTTCAATTCGGTACTCCTATACCGACATGTTACCATTAAAATATATTAAAGTACAATACATTCTAAAATCAATGGTCTTACGCATTGTCGGCTTATAAATTGTTGACGTATTTCCCGTCTAACTCCATTCGTCCCAAACTTTTCGATCGTGTACAGAGTCGCGCAACTATTAATTTTTGTTCTGAAGATGTGAGGGAAAAGCGTGTGGTATTGTTGTTAATGTGTACGGGTTTTTTGCGCCAAAGGATCAACTAGAAAATGAAAACATCTGTTCGGAGAACTTTTCGACCAGCGGCAATCGAAACGGTCGCGTGAAATACTTGAACAAAAAGAGATTCGAGGGTGGGCGGCCAGTAGCGACCGTGAAAGTCCGCGACAAGACGTCTCCGAAAATTATTGTACACGAGCGGCGAAAGCTTACCGTACGAGTCGCGGTGCACCAACTTGGCGTCGATCTGAAACGAAGTGGCCGCGGCGTCCGTGATGTCCGGCGGGCTCGGATCGGCGACGATGCTGCCGTGGCCGCCACTGCGTTCGTCCATCAGCATGTCGGTCAGGTTGGCCGTGCCCCGGGGATAGAGGCCGCCGGTGTATATGAACACGGTGTTCTCGGTGCGGTTGCCGTTGGCTGCACGGCGCAACTTGACGGCCAACATCTGATCGGGCGGTAGGTCGGCCAACACGAGGCTGCTGACCGGGAACGGGAGCGAGTACCTGGCGTACGGGAACGCCGAGTACCGCGGGACCGCCGCCCCGGTACCGGCTGCCTTCGCGTCCCACAGCACGCCACCGCCGTTGGCCGCGGGCCGCCTGTACAACTGAAACACGTCGACGGTGACGGGGCTGCCGTCGGCCGCGGTGGCCGGCCGCAGTCCGCGCAACGTGACCGACACGTGTTCCTCGGTGACGGTCCGGTGCGGTTGCTGACGCGACGGTTGCGCGCCGAACCGCCGTTCCATCGACTCCTTGACGGCCAGTATGGTGTCCAAGTCGCGTTCCGGCACCACGAACGGCGTGGCGATCTCGAACCGCTGGCCGCCCTTGCATCCGAACCGGGCCACCTGGTCGCCGTCCGCGAGCCGCGCGAACGTGCCCTCGTACACGCGGTCCGCGGCCAGGTCGCCGGCCACCATGTAATCGCGGCCGGCGCCGAGTTTCTTCCGCGCGGACGCCACCGACTTGAACATCACGTTCTGCCGCTTGTCCGCGCCGTTCCGGTACAAGCACACGCCCGACAGGCCCTGGCCCTCGGGCAGTCCCAACCGCACGGCCACGTTGTCCACGGTGACCGTCGCCGCGGTCACGACGGCCATCACCGCTGCCGTCATCATCATCATCATTATCACCAACGCCGCTGCCGCCGTCATCGTCATCATCGCCCGGGTTAGCTGCTGCTGCTGCGGTGGACGAGTAAAAGAGCACTCGCGAGCGTTGCGGAACACAACAGCGTCCGCTGGCCTCGGCCGCGGTATATATAGCAGAAGACGACGACGCCTCCCGTGTGCTCGTATAATGATCGTCACCAAATCCCATTGTCATCGACCGAACAAGGTCGTGAGCGCATACGTTGGCGACGATCACGAAAATATACCGGCCGAGAACAGAATCGAACGGAAAAAAAAAATAATAATAACAAACTCATCTAACGCGTCCGAGTCTTTTGACCCGTCTCCGCATTGTCTTCTCCGACTTAACCGCCCGTGGATATCCGAGCGCGTACATCATCACCGTAATAATAATCATGATGATGATGATGATGATAATCGTTTATACACGCGCACATTCTATACACCGGTACGTTTTTCTTTTCTCTTGCCGCTGTTCAAACATCCAAAATATACAAAAGATTAGTGAGTTTTCCGGCCACAAAGTTTTTTTTCGCGTAAACGATTTCCGTTTTTTTATGTGCGCGCGGAAAAAAAATTTGATGAACGCGAAAGAAACACTTCTGTCCGACATGTTACACGAGAAAAACTTAATTTCGCATAAAAAAAAAAAAAAGCGAACAATACCTCTACGTTTGTAATATTGACAATTTTTTGCCTTATCCATTTAGATTGTGCACACGCGTTACGTGTGTTAAGCGCGATTATCGGACATCGTATGTACACGTTATAACATCTATACAGACCCGCAGTTATGATATTCTTCAAAGTAAAAAAAACTATCATCTCTTCATGACTCACCATGAACGTCTCACTAGTCATCGAAGACGCAATTTCAATGAAAATACCGAGGCCTGTTGAAACCCCTCTATATTTTTCATGATCCTCAATGTTTTATAGATATCTGTAACCCATGCAATTCAATAATTACTGAAATATTTAGCGAATATTTAAATATTTCTAAATTTAAATTGTTCGTTTAGATTCCATATTTTATATTTATATTTATTTCTGTGAACACTTTATCGAATAGAAATACCGATCCAATAGTTTCATCCGTGTTATCAATTATCAGCATATGTACCAAATTACGAAGATTTATATCGTACTGAGTACATAAGCAAATAGGCTGGTGTTTAGAAAAACATATGACTATTTACCTTAGCTCGCTAGATAATGGACCCATATCATCATAGTTAAGATCATTCAGCATAGGGACGTGACCAGGATTTATTTTCACTGGGGGGGGGGGGGGTTACATTTGGAAAAAAATTAAATTTGGAAGGTGTTTGAGGGGGTAGAATGTTTAGTTAACTGCATATAGTTAGTTATTATAGCGCCGTTGATTCAGCATATTTGTTCCATTAACAATTTGTCTACGCTGGAGGCTTAGACGAACTCAAATCATTTACTTATTTTGTCAATAGAACTTAAAATAATTGTGCCATTTGTTGCGACTACTTCGCCCTTCATGCGCGGAAATACCTCCGTAATAAAATATAAATATATATTTTGGACCATATCGAAAAATGTAGACATTTTTAATGAACTTTTGGCAACATCAGCAATTACTAAATTTAAGTTATGAGCATATACCTTAGTATCACAGAAACTTGGTCAATTTTGGCTATGTCTTGTGTTGAATCCACTATGATTGAGAAACACTGTGCCTTTTTTATTTCTTCACATATATTTTTTCTTAACTCAGCAGCCAATAATTTAATAAGTTCCTTTTGTATCTTCCAACTTAAATATTTTATTTTTAATTATTCATTATATAAAAGTTTACTTAAAATAGGATCAAACTCTGCCATCAATTTAACTGTGCGTAAAAAATTGCCTTCAGAATTACTATTAGCTTTTCTTTCATTTCCCCTCAATGCAGTATTTCCTGCGGTAAGGCATAATATTATTTTTATTAATCGTTTTAAAACTTCTCTCCAGAATTTTGCTTCTTCGGATATATGCTTTTCCAAGTTTTTATCTATAGTTCCATTTTTCAACCAAATTATTCGCAATTGTATGGCTTCTACATGCTGTGTACAGTTTTCATGTTTGATAATTTTTTGGGTTAATTGTTGCCAGTCATTTATACCATTTATCCAATTTAATTTAAGTTTATGATTTTTTCGATCCGCAAACAACCAACAAGACTCACAATATACTTTGTTTAAAACTAATGAATAACACAGCCACATTCTAGGTACTTTAATACCGGCTTTAGTAGTCATATAATAATAGTCTTTGGAAAAGTGTCTGCTAGATTTCATAGTTTCATTTTCATCACTAAAAATGTTGTTTGAAGGAAAGTTTATTGAAGGTTTACAAGGACCAAGTAATCACTGCTAATCATAAATGTTGGCCTGGTGCTGGGAAAAAATTGGCCTTTTTAATTGCTTGCACACTTTTAAAAAAGAAACTGAAATGGCGCCACTGGGCTGGTTGAACACTCTCATCTTGCAACTGATCCTGCGTAACTCGTCGGACCGCTGGCCGTTCGTCCTCAGCCCTTGTCTGCTCAACAAATCCATCGGTACTGTAGTTGGTCGGTGATCGCGTATCCAAAGGTTTTTGTCAAAACCGCGAAACGGTTCTGCGGTGCCGTTATCACGAACAATTTCCGCCGGTAGCATGCGATTTGTTAACCATGTGGCCGCGAGCGCCATCTGTCTTCTCGCGCCTCTGTACGTACGCTTACGTAGTATTTTTGTAAATGTTTTCCCCACGTTTTAGATTTTCAATAATATTACGATGGAGCGCGGTGAACACGATACTAGTGTTACCGGAGACTACATGAAAATAAATATGGTTGTATTCATTTTTCTAATATTTTTCCGTCTTGAGCTCATTACTATACTTAATCCGGCTTTTCGTTTCCGCCTTAATCCCTTCGATCGGGGCTAAATGCACCCGATACCGATTGTGTTGAGAAATATTTATGCCGCCCACAAACACCAGTTTCCTAACGCAGGTAAAGCTTCTAATCAGTGCCGTATATCCCAGTTATTACTATAAGCTAGTGCTTAGGGTGGTAATTTCTCAAGGACGACAAATCATTTTTAATATTACATTTTTATTATTTGTTACTAGAACTATAATAAATGCAACTAATTATAAAAGGTTTTGTTTTATTAAAGCCGATGGGTACTAGGCACTAACTATTTAATTTTGAATATAATTTAACAATTAACTATTT